TATTCGTCACATTCACGAGTGTCAGTGTTTGTCAGTTACTCTTTACAAAAATAAACTGAAAAAATACCTTTAGCTTTACAACACTCGCGTTAAAGTGTATAGCATACAAAGTGTTTTTTTTTTTTTATTTTAACTCTTTCTCTCACTGAGAGCACATGTATTTCTTATCAATTTCGCCATTGTGAAATTTCGCCATTGTGAAATAGAATAAAACACATTTTAATACATAGGATAAAATAAGCAACACTTTAAACATCTTCAAAACGAAACCAAAATATTATTTTCCGACAGGACTAAATCTACGTGATTTAGTTTAAACATATTTTATTCATAATCATACACAGTTCATAATATACAATAATTCAATATATACAATGATGAAATGGATTAGAACGAAAGATATAAAATCTTATATAGTTCTTCTCCGACTCTATTTTGAATTAACAACAAAGTGATGGCATCAATCTACTGAGACAATGTGTATGAATTCATATACATATATTAGATATACATATGTTAGAGAAAAAAAACCCTTAAGGATACATACATATTCAGACATATATAATAAATTGGGGGAATTAGTTGTAAATATAACGTTATCCTAGCACATTAAGAACTGACTTGCTTTGGCTGGTTCTGGAGAATACAAATTTAATGGTAAAAAAAAACGACTGTGATAATGAGTACAAGATGTATTAATAAATCATGTTTCGAACCTCTTACTTAGTTTGATATATTTATGAACTGCAGAAAATATAATCTTCGATTTGCTTCAATTGATTTGGATTCCGTTCCGAACAAGATGATCTCTAATGAAGGAGCTATAATATTTGATACTGTATTAAACAGAATACATCTTATGTTATCAAATCTTTGACATTCATAAAAATAGTGGTAGGTTGACTCAATTTCACCACACTGACAAAGGGGCGATTGAACAATATTCTTTAAAAATAAATGTTGATTGAGAGAGCTGCAATTTCTCCGGAGTCGCGTGTGAAGTATTTGATATTTCCTGTCACCGTAATAGAATAAAGAATTGCTTTTGCTACTTCCCTGATTTAGGAGAGACTTAAAATTGTTTAATGAGTTTGCATTTCTTACATTGAGTGGTAACTCATTCCATTCTTTTAATGTTGAAGGAACAAAAGAATTAGCGTATAGAGAAGTTCTTGTAGGTATAATTTGGAGATTTGTTGAGTTACGAAGATTATACTGACTTGTTTCACCTACTGTATTAGGAACAAGATTACACAGATATTCAGGAGAAATCCCATTTATCATCTTAAAGAATAAAATTAATTTATGTTTACGACGGCGCTCAGCAAGACTTTCCCAGCATATTTCGTGATAGAGCTCAGATATGGAAACAAGTTTAGTGCATCCACTTACAATTCTTGCAGCATCATGCTGTATCTTTTCGAGTTCTTCCTTTTCATAGTTTGAACAGTTGTCCCAAACTACATCAGAATATTCTAAAACTGGTCGAATAAAAGCAAAATATATAACCTCCAATGATCTACGATCAAGCAAATACTTAAGACGTCTCATAACATTATTCGTGACCAAGCCTAGTTTTTAATTTAATAAATAATTATGTTCATGCCAGGAAGCATCATCTGAAAGAAAACAGCCCAGATGTTTGTGCGATTCAACCACATGGATGCTTACATTAGACATAGACAATGGAGGATGGTGTGGTTTATTCATCTTTTTAGAAATTACCATTGACTCAGATTTATTAGGATTGAAATACACAAGCCAATTGTTTTAGCCAGTTTGATATCTTTCAATATCCAATTGCATTTGAGTTGCTGTTTCTACTGGAGACTTTACAATCATATACAAACTTGTATCATCTGCAAAAAGATTAATTTTTGAGTTAATATCTGTAACAATATCATTTATAAAGATAAGGAACAAGAGTGGTCCTAAGATAGATCCCTGAGGAACTCCAGCCTCCATATTGGTAAGATCTGAAGTACTTCCAGGTAAAACCACACGCTGCTGTCTATCAGTGAGGTAACTAGAAAACCAATTAAAAAGATTTCCTCTTATTCCTGCATGATGAAGTTTAGAAAGAAGCCCCTTATGCCACACCTTATCAAAAGCTTTACTTATATCAAAAAATACAACTCTTACTTCAAGGCCTTCATCTAAAGCTTTAGTAAAAGTATCATACAAAAATTTGACGTGCGCTATTGCGATACAAGTAAGTGTTATTGCTTTAAGGAACAATCAGTTTTTTCACAATCTCTCTGTGAAAGATCATCAATGAAAAACTAAATTGTAGAAAGAGAACGGTAGGCATATTGCTTTGCATTTGCAACGGATTCTAAAATCTGCTTTAAACTGTAGTCCTTTTTTTTCGACTTGGAACTGGTGCCAGAATTGACAATTGAAGAAAAATTTAAGATTTATGTCATTCATAATAAAAATATGAACATATTTAGGTAGAGTTTTGCCTTCCGTACTCCCGGTTGATGTAAACCTGACTTTTTAATCACGACGTAGACCAGATAACGCCAGAAAACGAAATAGCTTGCAACTGAAGCCCGCTCTAATACAAGCAACTTCCAAGGTTATGCAAAGTGTTTTGATAAAACGGCTTATAAACTGACGATGATCCAATATTCTGTGGAAAGCTTATAATTTTCCCCGTAGACTGGTGCATATCCCAAAGAAATTGGTACAGAAATAAAATATTTACGGCTATTTTCTTTTCCGAATCGAGCAACATTTGTCTTGGAAATGATGCCGAAAATGACGCCAATGTCACGTGGTATTGCCACACTGAACATGCAGTGAAACTTTATTAGAGTTTACAGCAGCTGAAGCCGAGGTGAGAGGCCCTATATAGTATACAGAAGCGATAGGGGCGTGAGCTGGAAGGTATTATCAAGACAAGGCTACTTTTTCGGCTACCGTACGTTTAAGTGCTCATACCCTCTGTATAGCGCAAAGCTAAATTATGATAGTTTTTGTACCTCATGCAGAATCTTTAAAGATTACTCGATTAAGGTGACAACGGAGTCAATTATTACTGAAAATACCTAAAATGAGATTCTTTGCTTAGTAGATTTATCAACCTTTTCTGAACACATTCGTGATTTAATTTTGGAAGCAGTTAGTCCAAAAAATGTGTTTTTAAACGTTTTAAAACGGTACCTGTACCATTTTTATCTGCTATTCGCGTAACCTGTCAATTATCGATAACGCTCCGCCCCCTGTTGAGGCATCAATGAGGGAAATCGGTAGTTCCATATATCCGTGAATTACCCGTCCATACTGGTCCATACTACTCGTAATTCATATATCGTACAAATACCGAACATCTTTTATGAATATCGTCTACCTTTTATTAAGCATTTTTATAAAATAAGAAATTGTCGGCCAATGTACGTAACATAATGTATGAAACATAAATAATTAAGCATAGCGGCAAATCGCACGACCACGGGTTGATTTAAAATATAGTTGCTAAAATATCCATAATGTGTGAAAATAATTTGTCTGTCCCGTTAATCTGATAGATATTACATTGAGTTTATGGACTTTTGTACGGATTCATCGGCGTGCTTTACATTCAACCTCGTTTTCTAACAATGTCAAGTAAAACAACAACAAAAACAGACAACATTTTTTATGTGAACGCCTATATGACTTGTGGTAAGGTGTCCCTGACAAATTTCTAAACCATTTTAGATTTGTTTAAGGATGATCATTTCTCTATGAATCAATAAAAAAAGATATTAATATATACTATCAGTGAATGCTCTGAATAAATTGTTCGCCAGTAAATCGAACACAGTACTAATAAACCTGGACAAAGTTATGGAATTTATTGTATATCCCAGTAGAAACTGGATATCTATGCCGTGCATAGATGATTTTCATGATAAAAGAAGTCATAAAGGTCAGATCATAATGATCGAGTGATACCTTTTATTTCTATTATAATATGTCAAGCATTTATTTCAAATTTGGAGGAAGAAAAATATATAATATCTCGTTTTTTATTTTTACATTTACCATGGACTTTAAAAAGACCATCAGAAGCTCAGTTTTTTGTTATTTTTAATTTATATTTTAACGGAATTTCATACACGAATACACAGACAGAGTGACACTGGTATAATATAATAATAATGCTGATGATAATAATAATAATCTTCAAAAGTGAAACAATTAAATACCCGCTAGCGGTGCGCCAAATACGTTCCATTTCCCCCCACCGAGTGCCTCAAATTTTACCGAAAGTCACGTGACATGTGCGACCGACAGTAAATCACGTTAAGATTTGAAAAAATTTCTGTTATAAACGATATTAATCAGCAACTTTTTAATTGGTCAGATTGTCACTGGGTCATAAAATGTTGTTAGAGTATGTTAGCGCAACTTGTGACCCTCTCTGGTGCGATATTTGTGTATTATGCAATATTTAGCATGAAACGTAGGGGTCCCGAGAGAGAACAGCCGATTTATGACACTTCGTTTGATGCGGGTCGGACTAACTTTGAATCGGCATAACTTTTTAATAATCAAGCAATTAACATGCGGTTTAAAGCACATGAAAGGGAATTTATTTACGGAGGGAACCGTGTCAGGGATTTTTGATTGCTCAATCAGCGACTTAATTATCTTTAATTACGTAATATGTATGGTGAAAAAAAGTCGCATAAAATGTTTGACGTTACGTAATATTTTTTTGAGAAAAGATAGAAAAAATTTGAGACACGGTTCCCCAGATATTATAAGTATGTTTATTTTCCAAAAGTTTGATGACAAAAAAATAAAAATGACTTTGATATGACGATTTAAAATTTTAGGATTTTTATTAAAAATCAACCATTTACAAAGGCATTTTTTTCAAATATGTTATTTTTTATGTTGATCAACGACATTTAATGCACAAAGATTAAATAAATAACAATTATTACTAAAATTAGTTGGTTAAAATGACATTTATGTGAGTACCACGGAAAGTGTCTGTTGTCACCTTAATTTGGAGACAAAATAAATGTAAATCAAGTACACCCTTTAGTTGCGTCTGCACAATCACTGATCGGCGAGTAAGTAAAATTTTAAGTTAATTATGCACAATAAGATCTATTTTCAAAAAAATGTTGCTAGTTTAACCCATTTCCTCATATACACACATTTTTATTGCCCTTTTCGTCCGCTTTTGAAGACTGAAATGGTGAAAAAATGCCTGATTAATGCTTCTGTTTGTGAAAAGTTGTTAAAAAAATTAATATCCTAGAGTCATTAGTTTTGACGCCCTTAAGCTGTTTAACTAGTGCAATTTTTTATATTGAACTTGATCATTAAATAATATACAATATAAAGTTACTATGGCATGTTGTTTATCACTGCAAACCATTTTTATGTTTGTTAAAAATTCAAAATCAGTTAAGTTTTGTACTTGAGTAAACAGACCATGGAGGCATCCATTGCTGTTTACAGTCATATGAAATGACACTTTTTCATTGGGTGGTTATTTTAAAAGGATATTTCACTGTTACGTAATATGAACAGCAAAAGAATATTTTTAATGAGCAAACATGCAATGAAACAACATCGTGAAAACTTAAAATTATGTTTTATTTCATATAAAACTGTCCATTATTTAGGAATGCCATACACCCTAGCAGTGGTCTTAATAGGTGCACCTGTCTCTTTCACTTTGAATGTATTTACCATTAATCTTGATGAATAGCATCTGTATTTGGCTTACAGGGCTGAAAAATATATCTAAAATGAAAGATGTTGCAAAGATAGGTATATGTTGATTTGAAAAAATGATTTTTTTCTTTCTTTTTTAAACTTTATATACAATAGTTAACCCATTTTGAATTTTACTCAGTATCAATTAAAAACCAATTAACATTTTCAAACAATATAAGCTGTACACCTTGTGCTACAGTGAATATTAAGGACACTTTGCAAAGTTTTGGTCACATGACACTCATAAGACATTTTAAAATGGAGGATAGAAACAGAAAAGGGCAGGTCAAGATTTTTCAAAGGCTTTATTTGAAAAATTATGGCTTGCATGAACATCGATTGAATTTGCATTAGTAAAAAGATGAAAAAATACAGTAAATTTGATAAAGGTGAAGTATTTTCAGTGAAATGTCTCTGTCTTTCCACATGTTTTAGTTATACGTTGTATGTACATGCTTGCAGTGTAGTCAGCAAATTATGACTTCATGCGAGGTCGTTTTCGTCATTTGTTAGGTCAAAACAAAAATGGCGTCAAAATAGATGAGCGTCAAAACACATGACCGGACGATAACTTTTTTGGCGCCGCCACCTGTCAAAAAGATACATCAGGGGGTGCCAGATTGGGGATGTACCCCTTCTGATCAGGGTTTGGAGGGGCCTTCTGCACACCCCCCACCCTTTTGCCAAGGAAAATTTAGGACTGAGGGCTCAGGTCGATGATAAGGTTACTGCAACCAACAATGAAAAGCTGTTGACTCTATCTCAATCCATTGAGAAGTTGCAGCATTTTGAAATCAGTTTTGAGGGGGAAAAAAAAATTAGTGATTTAGGTGATGCCCGTCGATGCCATGGTAGATCTAACAGGAAATTTAAGATAAAGCATTCTTGCATAGCAGACTGGCGTTTCCGTGAGATTTACCCATGCCGGAAATTTCTTCTGTCATAGGGGGTGCCGATGAGTTGTGTGCCAAACAACAACATCATTTTAGCGCACTTTATGAATGAACCGCGTTAAAATGACGTCGTTTTAGAAGGGAAATATGTGCTTAGGATGACGTCATTTCACCGTTGATATTTAAGTTGTAAGTTCATACGCTATTGTAAGAAAGTAGTTATGGATGAAATGACTTTAATTTCCATGAACATATATCATATTAAGGTAAACCATTTTAAATATGAAATAATATGGCAGAATATGCAAGAAAAAATATCTGACATATGTTTGCGGTTCGGATCGGAATATCCGTCCCTCGTTACCGCCCACTCGGCAAGCCTCGTTACCGCTCATTGGGCGGTTCCCCTCTGTACCACAACATATGACAGATATTATTACACTGTAACAAAGACAATGGTCCAGTTCACATGTGTGCCAGGTTTGATTAGTATTGAAACATTTTTTATAGTTTCATATCAATTTGAACTGGGAGGCTGATAAATGAAAACAGTCAAAATGCTCTTGCAGTATCATGTGCTTCTAATTGTAAGACAGGGTATACATTGAATTGTATAGGCTTGCAAGACAAGGTACAGTGACTTAATTATTGTGTATTTGGCCCATCATCAAATAATATAGAATAAATCTAAGACAAAATTTTTAACAAGTTCTCAAAAAAGTATATTTATTCTTAAAAATATTCTTTATTTAACATTTCTGTCAAATTTGGCTGAAATTCAACAATTTAAACAGCTCCATTTCCATCTTGGAAAAGCACAACCCTTTTGTAAAACTGTCATTAAGGCTGGCAAAATCTGATTTTGACTTATTTGTCCTTGAATATTTCCACTTGTCCGTACATGCTGTGGGAAAAGACATGGCCTCTTAAAGGGAGACACAGGCAAAATTTTCATTTCTTAGTTTTGAAATTTTCATTCATTATTCTGTAAATGTCCCCAAAATGAATACACTAAACAGTCAAAAGAACAAAACTTTTCTCCATATAAAGAATAAAATGGTGTTTTCCTAACTTGACCCGCGTGGGTCAGGTTAGAGCGCTAAAATTTCACAATAGTTGTCACTCTGTACTCTGGAAATGTTAAAAAACATGTCAAATCAATTACTTAGACTTGTTTCAATCATACAATATCCACAATATTTGTTATTGTAACTTCCAGGGTTTGTTCAAATCGCATGACTTGTTTTTAAACTATTCGGTGATTCTGTTCGCGTCAAAATTTTGTTCAACATATATAGATATATTTAAACTTCAAACCCAAAATATATAGAATTTATACAGAAATTCATGTTGGGACTTTAAGAAATGTCATTTTAGGGTGATTTGAGTACAGAAAATCATTTTTATATTTTTGCCATTATTTTGCCTGAGTATCCCTTTAAAATAAAGAACTTAATCAGGATATTTGCCCGGAAATCGTTCAAAAGAGTTTGAAAATGGGTCATCTCAGAAGAAAAACTAGGTCAAACTGGTGTCAAAAATAGAAAAATCTTGTTAACTTAACACTAGTGGCTACAGTTTCTTTAAATATTCTTGAAAATGGTCAGATTAAGGTTGTTTTAATGATATCTAACTCTGGTTCAAATATGGGTTTTCCATGTTTGGGCTGCATGAACTAGTTTTTGACCCCAGGTGACCCATATTCAAACTTTGACTTATTTTTTGACAAAACAACATTCATGACAAACCTGACGTGATGATTTATTTAAATATGACCTTGACCTTTAAATGACCTTGACTTAGTAATATTATCCACTTGAAATAAATGTTTTCTAGGAGTATTCTTTACTACAATATTCCTCCTCCAATGACATGTTTGACTAAAGGAATAAGAAAAAGTCAAAATTGGCCCCTTCTAGGGGGTAGCAGCTCCTATTAAAGAATTTACTAAAAAGTAAAAACTAGTGATGTTCCGATTGTCGCAAGTCGCCGATGATCAGTTACTGTTATGTAAAACGACAATAATCGATTCACAAAAATTTGTTCCGCGACGTTGTCGAAAATGTTTAAAGTATCAAAGAGAATTAATTCTGACGGTAATTTTCTTTTAGGAACACCTCGCTGATCGCAAAAAATCACTCAGAGACAATTTGGAGTTGAACAGGATCAATAAGTAATGTAAACAATAGTAATATAATGTGATGTGAATGCTATTATTTGACATCCATTGAAAAATAAAATCTATTTCGTAAAATTATGACTATAATAAGGTTAAAACTGTGTTGAAAAGTGCTAAATGAAGTTGATGTTACTAAATATAATAAAGTGCCTTGGTAAGAAATGTTACTTCCCTATTTCTTTTTAACGCGACTTTATTCGAAAGTTATCGATTAGGTCCCATCCGACTGAACCGATGATCGATTGGGACAAATTTCATCCGATTTCCATCACTTGTAAAAACACATGGTAAACCTGACTGACCCCCTTGGGCTGGGCCAAATTTGACCCCAGGGCTTTATGAACAACCTTGATGATGTTTTTTTTGTTAAATCTAGCCTTTATAGTTTAAGAGATGATATATAAGACTTTTCTTTCAGTTGCCATGGCAACCAGATGGCAACCAGAGTTCAGCATGGAAGGAGTCGTTTTTAACAATTTTAAAAGATAAACAGAATGTTTTGATATTATTGACTTAGAGGTTTATGAGAACATGTTGATGAAAGAAGTGTGGCCAGACAATTATGGCGACGGTGAGTGATGACGATAGCTTACTTTGGCTGTGCTCTGTTGAGTTATTAAGCATAAACTTATGTATAATTTATTATTTTATTTCAGGTGAGTAGTTACAGAAGTTGAGAATCAAGTTTTGAAGAAATCATCATTGATTATGGACCTGTTGATACTACTCCAAAGTATTCTATACTATTGTGTTGCTGTTTCGGGATTTCTATTGGCTATTCCATTAGAAGTGAATCGTGTAATTTTTTTTTAATTGCATTTGATGAATTTAATAAGGAAAATGAAACCAAATAATGATGAAATTTCTAATTATTAACTGACATAAGTATTTAACATCTCAGTGGGATTATTAAACTTCAAGCTGTTAACAATGTAGACAGTAGTTCAAATTTTGTCAAACGTATTTGGTTCAATGAAAATTTCAAAATAAAAAGACTTTTCAACAGTGTTGTTTGCATTTTATATAATATGAATGAGTTTGCATTTAATATGAATGAATATCTATTTTATCTTAGATTAATTATTTTTGTTTATATTTTTCTCTCCAGTCAGACCTTGATGGAAAATGCATTTTATATGCCAAGATTTACAAAGTCAAGCGAAGCTATATGATGACTTGGGGAGATGGTTCTGAATGCCGCTATGTTTCTAGTACTGGTTTCTTTGGAATAGTATTTGGACTTTTAGCTGGAGTTGGTTTTGGATATATAGCAAACAAGTCAAGGAAGGACAAAGGTATTGGGTGAGTACTACTGTATAATCAATAGTAAGATTTTCATTACCAATTAATTTTTTTTCAATGATAAAATTAATATTTTGAAGAAAAAAAGGTTTCCGTTTTGCCTGTAAAAAGCAGACAAAATTTTCTCAAAAAGTAACATAATAGACAAAATTTTCTCCAAAAGTAACATAATTTTTTCACACTATTCATTTCAGATATAGAATGTGGATGATGGTTTTTGTTATGATGAATGCTGGTTTAACTCTTGTCTCGCTTGTTGCTGCTTGTATGTTAACTATTGGCTTCAAAACAATTTCCAACATATTGGGCAGTCAAATGTATGTTGTCATCAGATACTCTTATATTATATATATATACAACATTTTTTATATATTGTTATTCAAATAATACATGTAGTTTCAAGGCAGATTTAACTGTTTGTCATGAAAATATTTTGTATCTTTTTATTAGCACAATGCCTGAAACAAAAATTAAAATTCAGTTTAATGTATTGTTACTAGTACTTTAGATAGAAATCAAATCATCTCTCTTTCTACCAAGTTTGTATTATTTATGTGAACTGTAATACAAAAAAATAAAAAAAAATAAATGACCAATCAAAGAACAAAATTTGATGAATGATCACCAGTGAAACTTCATATTCCTATCATCTGTATGTTTTTTGTTGCTGTTTTTTTTGCAGGTGCTCTCCAATTATTACCAATGGGAAGTTGTCAAATTTTGTTCTCTTGCATTCCTTGTCAGAGGTAATCAACAGTTATTTTACATTTCTTGTTTTATATAGAACTAAACTTGTCTCTAAATCCCAATCAACAAATTTAAACATAGGCCAGTCATAATAGAAATTATGGTAAAACTAATTCCTTCAGAAATGTTTTCACAATTAAATAAAAGATAAACATTATCTACATTTTGAGAAAAAAGTCCTCAAAAAATCTCCTTGCAGAATCCTGAAAAATCGATCATAAAGATTTAGTAAAAATCAATATTTAAATGTGTCTCTTAAATTACACCATACTTTAACTTTATGCACGTTCGGTGACGTCACGTTTATTATATTTTCGTTGAAAGATCTGAAGTTACTTCAATCCAGCATTCCTAGTGCAAAGGTGAGTAATTTTAGTCAGTTTTATATTCTTCTGTATAAATTTTAGGAAAAAATATGTCAGTAGATAGATTTAATTGACCACCAATCAATCGATTATGCAGATGACAAAATGTGTCATATAATTTCGCGATTTTAAACACAATTTTGAATAAGGTAATCATTAAAAGAGAGTTTATCTTTTACTCACTGTTCTATATTGTTTTCTTTTGTACAATTATCTAAAATGGCACAGAATTAACCACACATCTTACTGAGTATTTAAAATAATGTGTATGCACAAGTTATGTAAATTTTTCTTCTCTACGGAAGCGTGTTGTGACCAAAATCACGAAAATCTAGGGATATTTTTTAAAATGTTAAATTTGACTTATTTCAAAGAGTTGGCATGTTTTATGAATTGTGGAAATCATAATTAAATCAAATAATATGTTAACTTGATGTAAACAAACGTATTTTGTAATGCATAATGCACTTCTAAGCGAAATGATAATATTCCAGCATGTTATATGAAAAATAGACAGCGTATCCAATAGGGTTTAATCAAGCTAAAACTATTACCTATTAATGAGGAAGCTGTTACTGAAACTTTATACATTACTTTTACTTCTTAACAGAAGACATGGATTTAAAACCCGAATTATTATGTCAATTATTTGATTCTTTTGTAGGTTCAATCATATCATATGCATCTGAGAGTATGGGGTTATAGCAAATCATAAGATAATTGAGCGTATTCACTTGAAGTATTGTAAAAGAATTTTAAATGTTAGAGCCAATACAAGCATTGTTCGTATATACGGCGAACTCGGCCGTTACCCATTGTATATAAATCGATACGTAAGAATAATTAAGTTTTGGTGCAAATTGATAAATACTGATAATATAATTTTACGGAAAACATATGAATTAAGTTTATCTGACTGTTATAAATGTAAAAAACTGGGTATCAGATATTAAAAAAAAGCTGGATATATATGGTTTATCCGAAAACTTTTTTGAAAATAATATCGTAGATAGTAAATTATTTCCAAAAATATTTAAACAAAGAGTTATTGATAATTATATACAAATATGGCATTCATCTGTAGAAAATACTAGTAATTCTGTTTTAGAACTTTATAAAAATTGTAAAGAATTATATTCATACGAAAACTATCTTAACATATTACCAAAGGATCTTAGATTTTACATCACAAGAATTAGAATGTCTGCACATACACTAAGAGTACAAACGGGTTATATGGTCAGAATAAAACCCCAAGGAGTGAAAGATATTGTTTATGTTGTAAAAAGATGAATACCATTTTGTTTTGATATGCCCATGCTATGTTGACATAAGGAAAAATATATGTGAAACGATATTATTACAAATGTCCGTCAATGTGTAGATATTGAACTGATTTCTTCTAATAATAAAATTATACTCACTAATCTAGCTAAATATTTGAGAGAATCGATTAAAATCAGGAACATTATTGTTAGTACTAACAACTGAATTTTGAAATTTTGTTACACATTTATACTAAAAATTCAATTGATTTGTTGTATACTCTGCGTAACAAATTGTTTTATATTAGTGGTAATAATATTCTCTTAATCCATTATTGTTCATTCTCCAGCTTTATATGAAATTCAATAATATATATTAAATCTTATATTATTTGTTAAATAGAAACGTGACATCTTTACAATTTGTGTATTTATATTATTACTAAGTGATGATGCACTATGTACAAATCCAAAATAAAATTATGTTCTGTTCTGTTCTTTACAACGTTTTATATCTTATGTTTTAACTATTTTTATTCTGTCATTCTAGGCAATTTGGATAAGTCTAATAATCTAATGTCAAAATGCAATAGATTTCACTTATCAAAATGGTTTTAAAACACAAAATTTACTTAAATACTAAGATGACATATTCAAAGAGAAAATTAAAATGAGGTGTAAACAGACCAGACTTCAAAATTGCATTTGATATAGATGTTAATCATATCTTTTCCGACCCTAAACCATTTGATTCTTATTATAACATATTAAATTTGCTTCAATTGTTTTCTTTTAAATAAAATGTTGTGTAGCTTGATAATCTACCTTCACGATAGTATGTATATTTTAAGTAATGTTTTCCATGTTGTTGTCAGCATTTATAGAAAAGTTGTTGTATAATTAGTTAGAAGATGGATAGACACGTGACTTCTACACAAGGGGTAATGGGCTGTGAGAGAAAAATGTTTTTTACGTAGATATATCTTATTGAATGAATGAAAACAAAACAATTGGGTGTCTTTCAGGTTTGGTAATACAACAGAAATTGATATATCAACACAAATTTACATCATTGTTTTACAGCATGATTATAATAAATGCACATACAAAAGTGTTTGCTCATACCAACATTTTCTCAGGCGTTTCCCTACTATATCAGTTCAATACTATTTCTTTTTTAATATCTTTTTGATAATGTTTTATGGACTTATATATCTTATTTTCAGAGGAAGGGCTAAACATAGTATGGGATGGTTGATTGCAGAAGACAATATTTAGCGAGAGTCCAGCCTTTTATATTTTGGCAAACATAAATCAATCCGTTGATTGGATGTGGCAAGAGCTTTCCATATTTCCAAGTTAGGAGAGGCTAAATGGGTTCTGTTTGAAAAGATCCAGCATTTTTGAAAAGCAATTAACAGGTAAATCAAAGAAAAACCCTCTATATTTTTAATACACAGTTGGTGTACCAGATTCAATTTTGTTTGCTACTGCATAATTATATAACTTTTCTAAAGGGAATTCACATTTGTAAAAAAGTTAAATGGTTTTCTTTTAAAAGTGTTTTATTTTTAGTGTCCAAAACTGCAGTTTTCTTACATTCTCGGAATTACTAAGATCAGAGATTTGTTTGTTGGTTTTTATGTCACATCAACACTTTACAGGTCATATAATAACTTTCAAGCTTTACTGGTGAAGGAAACAGTGTGACATAGGTATTATTTTTAGCGCGTAGAACCACCAATATTCTATAAAGCTAGTTTGGGTAAGCTATGTCAGATAATAGATTCCAAAACCCAGACAGGACTCGAACCTACATCGTTAACACCGTGAGAAGCAAGTGTTTTGAAGTCAGTGACCTTAAACACTCGACCAAAACTTCCAATTTAGTTATCTGTATGAAAGTATAGGTGCCGTTTTGTTCAGTATTTCCTACTTATATGGCACATTATGATGTTTCACAGTCAGTGCTTCTTTCAGCCGATAGGCAATTTACATGCTTTAAATTTGTTATAACAACATAACATGAAACATATTTTCTAAAGAAGAAAGCTGAGGCACGTTTTTGCTGAGGCTAAACGTGCCTCATTAATGTATGAATTATTTCAGGTACGTATGTTAATATACGTACCTGATTATTTGTAGATAATTCAATATAAAAATATAAATCTAAAAGCACAATCCTATCTTGCTTTTCATAGTACATGTACCTACATTTTCAGTTTGACATAAAATTGTTTTATTTTAAAAGCAGAATGCAAAGTTCGCATTTTTATTTATCATATTATGTTGTAACAATTTTACAGATACGAAACAATGTGTCTCTGTGAAAAGGGCAGGCTAAAGGTTTCAACAGCACCGGCCGAAAAAGTGGAGATATAATTTCAGCATTGAACAAGGGCAGGGCAATATGTATATATACACGTGTAGCGTTGTCAGACTATATGGATAGTCGGGTCTCTGTGACAAAAATGATGAGATAACATTGTGTTTTTTTCAGTGTCTTAACATTCAGTTCAAGATTCATTTTATTTTAAAATGTCTTTTTACTTACAAAACTTCCATGGTAAAGTAATTGCAATTTAGCACTGGTAAGATATTTAATTGAAGGATTGATTTTCAGAACAGAAATGCAAATACAATGTATATAAATAATAATTATAATAATTATTTGTGTAAAATGTATTGCAATTTTGAATTATAATATGAATTTAGATAGATTCATACAACTTTAATCTTGGTAGAGCTAATTTGTTAGAATATTAAATGGAATCTGACTTAAAGTAAAAAAAAAAATTATCATTAGTGGGTGGGGTAATGTTTTATACCAGTCTAAATGATGATGTATTATGTATGCAGTGTTGCGACTTTTTGAATGTAATCAACATTGGTTGAAATGTTTTGGATTAAATAAAGCATGTTTGTGTGTTAATGTGTTACTTTGTTAATTACCATATTTGCGTAGAATATCTGGGTTATTTAATTTCACAGATTATTCTAATTGAAAACACATGATTTCAAAACATGACATTTTTAGCATGTTATACTTCGAATTTTTTTGAGGACTTTTTTCCTGTAGCAACACATATATAGTAGATAACAAATATGCAAATATCTTTTCTGAAGGAATTTGTTTGAGGTTGGGTCTTATTTTTGGCTAAAATGCCTAGCCTAACAGTCTTACCAGTCATTCTACAATTTATGTTATGTGGAGACAGCACATATCTTTGTTCATTTTAGAGTTTAAAGAAGTGTAAAAATGAGAGAAAATACTTTACCAATTTCAAAAGAATGGTAATTAATAGTAATATCTGTCTTTTTGAAAGCATGTAGGTCCTAACTTGTCTTAGTACTTTGAACTGGATTGCTGACTTTCAATTTTGATTTTTTATTACAGGTAAGTGCTTGGATTGGAACCATTATAAACTTTTTACTGACTGGAATCAGCATTGTCACTCTTCTAAGGAACAGAGGGCGTCTACAGAGTAGAGATACTAAAAATATAAATTTAAACACTACCAGGCTTCCTTCTATTGGTTAATAGTATTGTTATAAATGTTCAAGATCCTTGTAGGTGTAGCTGTATCAGAATTGACATGTTAGTGTTGAACTTGAATTGAAGGGAGGTTATAGTTATATTTCATTTATAAATTTTGTTAAAGTCACATAATTATGTTTATCATTATTTCTTATACAGGAAGTTTTAATTTTGTAGTTAATTATGTTAATAATTTAAAAAATGTTTAATATATTTGAATTCTAATTGTTTGGATTTTGGCGAAAAATGAATAAATTTATTTGAAAAAAAGTTTTTGATATGTTCATTCTAAACATGGGTCATCTTACACAAACTGAGTACATTACAAGGGCGGAAACATTTGAACTGACTATCAACATGTTAAAACACTAAGTAACCCAATTTACACAAAGTAAAAAACAAAGGTTTAACAACAGCTTCACTGATACATGTTTAGCTTGTCTGTTTTTGAAGAAAAAGTTAAACTATTTGCTGTGATGGTAGCATGGTGCAAAAACCTTAATATATCCCATTATTCAAAGATTTTCAATGAAACTTGGTATACTTGGCGTTGCTGATCATGACAAGCTGCACTTGTCAGACAAGGGGCATAATTCTGAAAGCTAAATTCTTAGTTATGCCCATTTTTACATGGAATTTTTGTCAAAATTGCTTCTAAAGTAGAAGGATTTTAAAACTATGAAATGTTTCTAAATGAAACTCAGAACCTTGTTCATCATGCCAAATTAGATGTGTTAGACAAAGAGAATAATTCTGGAAGCTTTAGAGTTATGCCCCCTTTTTAACTAAGTATTTTTTTCCAAATGGCCTAAATTATTTTTGTCAAAAATGGCCTATCAAGTAGAATAATTTTAATACTATGAAAGGTTTCTAAATGAAACTTTGGAAAACTTGTCATCGTGACAAGGCACAGTTGCTAGACAAAGGGCTTTATTCTGAAACTTATATTTTAGACATTTACACTTTTTAATTAAGAATTTTGGTAAAAATTGCTTATTAAGTTGAATGAATTGATAACCATTAAAGATATCAACATGAAACTTAGAATACTTGAATATTATGACAATGCACATTTGTAAGACCTGGGACATTATCCTGAAAGCAATATTTAATCATGTCAGTTTTTAACTTGAATATTGATAACAAGAGCGATCAGTAATCACATGTGTCGCCTCATGATGGCCAATTTTATGTTGGGACAAGTTTTGTGACAGACGGACAGACAGACAGTGCACAACTAGACTTGGTACTGATCATTCCTGTAAAGTTTGGACAAAAATTGCACCAGTAGTTTATAAGGAGTAGTCCGGACAAGCTTTTGTGTATCTGGCAACACACAGAAAAAAACACCTTTTTATCAAAGGGCCATAACTCGGCCAAAAATCATTCAACCGGAAAACCCGTGCAATATGCGCAAGGACTTGAGCTACAGATCAATCCTGTAAAGTTTCATTGAAATTGCATTAGTGGTATAAGAGAAGTAATCCGGACAAACTTTAAAAATAAAAATTATTAAAGGGCCATAACTCTGACAAAAATCATTGAACCGGAAAATACTGACAATATGCACAACTAGACTTGGTACTGATCATTCCTGTAAAGTTTGGATGAAATTGCACCAGTAGTTTTTGAGGAGTAGACCGGACAAGCTTTTGTGTATCTGGCAACAAACAGAAAAAAACACCTTTTTATCAAAGGGCCATAACTCACCCAAAAATCATTCAACTGGAAAACCTGTGCAATATGCGCAAGGACTTGAGCTACAGATCAATCCTGTAAAGTTTCATTGAAATTGCATTAGTGGTTTAAGAGAAGTAGTCCGGACAAACTTTAAAAATAAAAATCATTAAAGGGCCATAACTCTGACAAAAATCATTGAACCGGAAAATGCTGACAATATGCACAACTAGACTTGGTACTGATCATTCCTGTAAAGTTTGGATGAAATTGCACCAGTAGTTTATGAGGAGTAGTCCGGACAAGTTTTGTGACGGACAGATAGACGACGGAGAAGTGATCCCTATATGTCGCCACTACTCTGTAGAGGCGACACAAAAATTGGTTATTATAGTTGTTGCCCAGCATTTACACCAAAAGCAGTGCTCTTGTTTACAACTACACATTTACTAAAAAAAAAGAGAATAGAAGGTCACATTAACCTTGACCAGAAAATGGGCAATATGACTACAGTTTCAATGTCATAAAAGAAGTCACTGACCATAAACAGAAACTACATAATGAAAATGAATAAAGATCATTGTCACAATTGACCTTTTGACACGAAATATGTTTCGCAGGTAGGACTCGCAGTATTTAATTTAATGACTTAATATGAATCTAATTATATTTGGTCATGCTAAAAGGTCTGCATTCTCTTCTACACATATGTACATGTGGTCTAAATCTGAGGAATGTAGCTTGAAAACGTAAAATGCTTTTTTTTTATCAAAACATTGTTAGATCTTTGACATACTCGATGTCATGAGTCATTTTCAAACAAATTCATGTGATAATTAATAAATGTTGTTGCAGATTTAAATTTTTTCGTTTCCATTACAAACACTGTCGCATGTTAATTGTTACAACACAATCAAACTACATTTGATGTGATTGAAGTTTGAAGGCCATAGCTTGAAGTGTTAACATATGAAAAAAGGTGATGGACTTCCTTAAGGTTGAAGTTTATTGACATGAACATAAAAGTGTGAGGTATCTGCATTTAATGTGTAAGCTATAAATAAAAATTTTTATTTCTAATTAAGAAAGATATGTAGTATGTCACTTGCAGAGCAAATGGTAATTACTAGTGAGTTATCCAGGGAAGTTGATTCGGTGGACCAAAATTAGAGATGTGACCAAAAATATGTTGAAATCAGTGTAAAAACAATACTAGTAATAACAACGCATCCTTGTTCAAAATGCATTTATGTTACAGCGCACATCCTCGTTCTTCCCAGAATTCAATCATTTTGGAAATTCCCTTATCTTATTGACACAGTCATACAACAACTATGTTACAGAATTTAATTCTCAAAATCTTTAAGCAAATGTGATATGTGTTAACAGTAAATACAGCAGATTTGAATAGCCTATAGTCTGATCGTGTTGTCTTTCCTTTACATCAATCTTAAATATAAGAATGGAAATAAATCTTGATTATGAGTGCTTTGTGGTATATTATGATTATAGCATGGTATGACTATGTCATTAAGATGTTAATTGCTATTTATCACGCAGGCCTACAGCCTCTCTGATTATGTTACCACTAGTATGTATCTTAGCTCATTCTTTGTAACATTATACTTAAGATGCTCATTTTAAGATCTTTCTCCTAAACAAAATACAAAATTGCATTTACTACATAAATGAATATTCTTTTTATAAATTTTGTATATTTTCTTTATACATGTATTAATGAATCTTCAAATGTGCTGTTTCTCTTCAAGAATATAAAACAGTAATAATTAGACAGAATAATAACATACTTTCTGTTTTTAACTCATAAAATTTATTCTTTTCTTTTTTTAATCTTAAAAATATCAATAACAAGTGAAAGCAAGCCGGAAGATAGTCCTAAGAAGTGCATAATGTCTAAAGTTCCCACATTTTCTTTTGATAAAGTTCATATCTGAAATCTTTACGATTGTCTGCTAAGTTGTCCCTCACGAGAGCTATGTAGTCAATTTCAAGTCTAAAAGGCCCATCTATATTATCTGCAGCTGTGATTGAAAAATATTTAATCTGGTCTAACGAAACAAGATATTGTTGATCTTGAGTCCTTCCTCGAAATGCAAGGAAAAAATGGGAAAGTGGAACCTGAAATAAAAATAATAGGAAAGATTTTACCTAATGGTTATCTTATAATTCTTATGTTATTACAAATATATATGTAAAACAAGTACTGCAAATCTACCTGTAACAGCCACGATAAATGCACCTGCACAGTTTGAGAGTAAAAAGCCCAATGGGTTGTCAAGATATTGGTCAGAAACCATTTTAGTATGAAAGGTCAATGTTACCTTGAACTTTGACCTAATGACCCCAGAAATAATAGGATTCATCTACTGATCATGATAATTGCGCACATTGTTGGTGTATGGGCTTGTGGCCTAAAACATTTTAATTAAATATTAAAATTGAATCAATACCCCCACTTCTACAAGGGGGGCATAATAAATAACACTGGGACATTACAAGCATACACATGCATTGTGTTTTCAAAAGTATATGAAGCTGTTGTAATCCAGCCCCCATCTGGTTTGGAATGAAATTAATAAAATGAGAAATATTTTTGTGTGTGAATAATCTGTGAATAAAGGTGGTCTGTTTGAGGGTAATTCTGTACATTTATAATCAAAGAGGTACAACTGACAGCTGTCAAATATTGCAGATAAAAAAAATCAATAACAATGATTATCTGGCTTTTACATGTCTGTCTGCATCTAAATCAGCATTCACAGGTGACAGGGTGCCTAGAGTTGTTAGCTGACAATTGTAAAAGTAATGTAGAGTAAAATTCTTCATCAGTAAAAGAAATCAAGTAACATTGCAAAGTCTTTCCAAGGGAAATAACTTTAATCTTTATATTATGTTATAATAGTCTTCAAATTATGTTGTGGACAGAAATTAAGAATGTAAAATTGCTAACTTGAGCATTGTGCAAAAAAAAGTTATAGTTCTTAGGTAACCTGTCAACCTATGAAATAGAAAATAACAGTCCCTAAAGAACGCCTATAATAGCAAAGTCAGTTTTTATTATTGATTACATTGCATACATTTTTTTACAGGTTATATGGCCTAAGGACAAACAGTTGTATAACTGTTATATAACCCAAGCTACTAGTATAAGGTGAAGGTTATAAAGCACACAACATTTTATAAATGGCCATGTAACCTGTCAAATGTACCAGTAATGTTTCTATATAATACTTCACCTTTACAATTTGCCAGTATGGTCCCCCTCTTGTATATAGGGGATAATTATACATATCGAAAGCAAGATGAGAGTAATATCTGTCCATCTGTATAACAAGCATGTAGTTTCTGCCGTCTCCACGTACACGCAAGTACATATGTGTATATCTGCTCCAATCATATGGTATCTGTCTTTGAAATGAAAGCTACAATACACAAACAAATAACATATTGAAGCAATTATAATCCAATAATTACAAAAATAAACACTATGTTATTATTACAACTATAAACACTCTATCTTCATTTTCCTGTCAGAGGGAAGTAGACTTATTACTGTCAAAATTCTATAAGTAGACTTATTACTGTCAAAATTCTATCATTGTTTGTGTCTAGATTTAGTCAAATATTTTTAGTATTTAACAGACTCTCATAATTTTTTATGTGGAAGAAAGCGACTGATAGATTTTTGAGATATCAACTCTTCATAAGAGTAGTTCAAAACACAAAGCTGATAAACATTTACCGTATTAGTATGTATTTACAAAACTAAATTGGTCACGCGGCTGTGCCACACCTGATCAAATTAATTTTGTAAAAACGTACTAATAAACTTTTACCTTTACTTATTGTGCACTCTAAAATTGTTAATCACAATTTTCAAAGAAGGTCTGATGTATTAATCAAATTTTTAACTTCTGAAACCAAAAGAAATTAGCTTTAAGTGCCACCAGTGTAGAGCCAGCCTGCCTGTACATCCATGCAGTATAAAATCAGGATTTTAACTAACTTTAAATTTTCATTTTGGTATCCCCTAAATGATAAAAAAAGTTCTGAAACTGGACGAGTTGAATGAAGTAATTCAGTAAGTGAAAGAATAACCCTTTACGCTCTGACAGGCAATACCGTATTATGACTTGTACAATCTCTTTTATCAGTACCAAAACGAGCTAGTTTGTACCTCCATGTTGTCTGACCAGACTCTTATACTACTGGCTGCTGAATTTTAGCATTTTGATATTATCAATTAAACTTTTTTTATTCAAATAAGTCTTAAATCAGTATTGGACAAGTCTGTTACACAAATACATGTATTTAGAAAGAGACGTTAAAACTTTGGTATGCCAAACTTAATGTTGATAGAGACCTATAGATTATCAATATTCCAGACATACACTACCTTATTTAAAGGTGACCTGATATTACAGTATCCAGCATGAGTAGATTGACCATCCTTCGGAACCTCTGTGTTCAGAACCCCTTGAAACAATGCCGTTCCTGCCGAGGTTGTAGTTAAAGTTGCTGTACTTTTACCTTGACTGGTATCCTGGTCTGTAGATACCATCCAGTCCTTCACACTATCTTCACCATTAAAACGTTTAAAATACTCAAAGTCTCCGTGTTCAGGGAAAATGTCTTGATCAAATATAAGTCTCTCCTTCCATTCCTGTGCATATTTTGGCAAATCTGCCTTTATAATTTCTAAACCAATAGTAATTTCATCAATTAATGAGCCTTCTCTTTTTTTCGGTTTCTTCTTAGGATAAAATAAACCGATGTCTGATCTCTCTTTAACACAATTGCGTTTAAATAATTTTGATAAGTTTCTGTTGTCAGCTGATAGTAATTTAGTCTGACAGCTACTTAAACTATTGATACAATGCTTTCTTACTGATAAATACTGGAAACTGACATGTTTCTCCACACTTAGAATAAACTTCCCTTTACTGCTGTGCTGTGAAAGTGTTTTAAAAAGTGGCATTATTGCATTAGTATTTTGGATGTCAAAGAAAGTTGTCTGAAAGCTGTCTGTGAATGGATACGTTACTGGTCATGACTGTGCATATCTGTCTCTGGAATCTGTAAAATAAAGTCAAGTTTAGTAAAATAATCAAGGATCAAATATCATCCAACACTAAATTTTAATTCATAAATACATGCAGTGTCTATTCAAGGAGGGGGGATGGGCGGATTCATCCACATTTTTGAGAATCCCCCCCTATTTTTCAGAGCTCGGGGGAAAATTTTACATAGAGAGAGAGAAGCAAAAAAATCAACAAATGTAATAAATTCTCACTTTTCGATAAAAATCCCCCCTGTTTTTCAAATCCTAGAATAGACACTGTACATGTATATCAAATTACAGTGAGGAATACCAGTTTAGTTACCATCTTTGTTGTCACCAAATACTTTTATCATTCAGTCATATGTCACATGGTTAGCAGAAAAACAAAACTACATAATTTATAGACGCTGTTTTATCGATAAAAAACTAAGAATGAAACAATTTCAATAATCTAAAAACATGATAAAACTAGACGAAAGCAGGATAAATCGAATACATGGTTTTTGTCGGGATAGGAGAAGGTTTATCCTATTCGCTGCAAAGATGAATCTTGGCTTGCTATCTAAAGCTCTTCAAGATAACAGATAAATCTTCTCTATTCCAACAGCAACTATGTATTCTCTATATTTCCAAAACTTGATTTCAATGCTCAACTTGTAACTTCAATTAAACCACAGGAACTTGAAATTCTATCACTATTAACGATAATATGCAAAATATACTCCCTATATAATATAAATAAACACTTTTTTATAGTATATAGGGGGTATTTTTAGCATATTATCATTTATAGTGATAAAATTTCAAGTTCCTGTGATTAAACAAGACTACAAATGTAACTAGTGGGATTATGACAAATTCACTATGTGAATTGATGACTTTTTATCATCAAAGGGTATGTGAATTAGAAAAGCACACATCATTTATCTGCTTTTCATTTCAAACCCAACCCTAGTCAAAAGCTTTGATATCTGACAAGGGGGCCCTTGGGTCCTGGGTCACTCACCTGAGTCATGGGTGTATACCTGTCTTCAGAGTTTGCGAAGACAAACAATCTTAATTTTAACTGAACTTGGTAAAAGGTGATCTCAGTTTAACAAAGGTTTCCCCAAGATCTGATCAGGTGACTTAGTTTCTGAAAATATATCCTTAGTTTTGAAGCTGCACTAAGTCTTGTTGAGATATATATGTAGACAAATATCTTTTGGAATCGATTAAAAGCTTCAATAACATCGCAAAAATGTATGACACATTATTTTTTGGCCAATGTGTAAAACTGTAAGAGAGTAACAAAGACTACAAGTAAATAAATATTTTTTTTCATTTATACAAAGACTACAAATTAACTGTTTAGTTGAATACAGTATTAGTGACAATGATATCTGAAAGATAAATTTGTTAAAAAGAACAGTGAGCTCTAATTATTTGCAACAAATATAGCAACGCCAGGAAACATGCAGGCTTGGTTGTCATTAGAAACTTAAAACAAACAACTTACAATATAACTTTATGCATTGAAACAGTAAAACAGACGACAGACAATATGATGTCACAAAAGCAGACCATGTCACTCTGTGACAGGTGAGCTTAAAATCAATAGGCTCCCTGGTAGAGCCCCTTTTCATCCTTGGGGCATTATTTGAACAGTCATTGTAGAGGACAACTAGATCACATTACACACCAAATATCAAGGCTTTACGCCTTGTGGATTTTAACACGTCTCAATATGGTGATCATTTTTGTGAAATACTTTAAAAATCCGACTTCAAATAACAATGTTATAAGCCGGACACGATTTTGCTGCAAGGTCATGCTGTGACCTTGACCTTCAAGGTAATGACCCAAATGTTGCTCATGACACCTCTCTCAATATGGTGACCTTTCTGTTAAATAGTTTAAAAATCAGACTTCAAAAAATAAAGTTATTGGCCGGACACAATTTTGCTGCAATGTCATGCTGTGATTTTGACCTTCAAGGTAACGACCCAAATGTTGTGCGGGACACGTCCTCTCAATATGGTGATCATTTCTGTGAAATAGTTTTAAAATCCGACTTCAAATAATAGAGTTATGGACCGGACACCATTTTGCTGCAAGGTCATGCTGTGACCTTGCAGCAAAATCTTGGCAGAAATTCGCAGAAATGATCACCATTCAAGGTTGCGACTCAAATATTGTGTGCGACACGTCGTCTCAATATGGTGATCATTTCTGTGAAATAGTTTTAAAATCCGACTCCAAATAATAGAGTTATGGACCGGAAACGATTTTGCTGCAAGGTCATGCTGTGACCTTGACCTTCAAGATAGCGACCCAATTGTTGTGCGCGACATGTTGTCTCAATATGGTGATCATTTCTGTGAAATAGTTTTAAAATCCGACTTCAAATAATAGAGTTATGGCCCGGACACGATTTTGCTGCAAGGTCATGCTGTGACCTTGACCTTCAAGGTAGCGACCCAAATGTTGGGCGCAACACGTCATCTCAATATGGTGATCATTTCTGTGAATAGTTTAAAATCCCACTTCAAATAACAAAGTTATGGGCCGGACACGAATTTGGGACATACGTACGGACGGACAACTCGACGACTATATGCTCCCCCGAAATTTTTTGGGGAGCATAATAAAGAACAAAATATAAAATGATAAGTGAAAATAAGGAAAATCTATATTTTGCAGACAGAATGTATGTTGAATTTTGCAGACAAATTAGATAAAGAACAAAATATGAAATGATAGATCAAAATAAGGAAGGTCTGTTTTTTTCAGACAGAATATATATGAATTTTGCAGACAAGTTATATTGATCAGGAACAAAATATGAAATGATAGGTGAAAATAAGAAAAGTCTGTATTTTGCAGACAGATTCCCAGACAAGTTAAATAAAGAACGAAACATGAAATGATAGGTGAAAATAATAAAAATCTATTTTGCAGACATAATATATCTTGAATTTTGCAGACAAGTTACTAGATAAAGAACAAATATGAAAAGATTGGTGAAAATAAGGAAAATCTGTATTTTGCAGACAGAATATATGTTTTATTTTGCAGACGAGTTAAATAAAGTACAAAATATGAAATTAATGGCGAAAATATGGAAAATCGGTATTTTGCAGACCGAATGTATGTTATATTTCGTAGACAAGTTAGAATAAGAACAAAATATTAAAATTTAATGATAGGTGAATATAAGAAAAATCTGTATTTTGCAGACAGAATGTAATATGTTGAATTTAATAATAATGTTCTTATAATTATTAAGAATAATGAAACATAACCATTTTGAGAATACTTTACAAAGTATTTAATTTTTTTTATGAATATTATTTTACTTAAATAAGAAACATACTGGTCGGGGACCATCAACCGGACACTTTTTAAACATTTTTCCGTACAGATTTCATAATTTTTAACCTAGAGACCTAAAAATTTGACACAGTTCAGCTTGGTTCTTCTCCTAACTAACAAACTAGTTTGTTTATTTCTGATTGTATTGACACTTATATCTGAGGCTCGACAAAGAGGGTATAAAAATTACCTAAATTGTCTACACTACAGTACCATGTGTCCGGACAGATATGTACATGATGTGATTAATAATTCAGATAAAACCTTGGGTGTTTTAATTTTTTATTTTTAACATGTTATACACTATTTCAGCAACAAATGCTGAAGTTTTGAATATTCTCTTGTTTACTCTGCAAATGATTATAGCTGGTAAATGAGGTCAGGCATTGCTTTCTTGACCCCCAAATTTCTAGGTCAACATTCTTGAAATAGCCATTTAAAAATTACCATTTATGGAGGTTGAAATAAATTTATTTATTTAATTTTAGAAGAAACATGCACTTATTGTTGATAGAAAAGTGACTCACAACCACTGAACAAAGAAAATACTAAATTAAGCATTTTCGGGGCCGTCCGAGTTTGGTGGTTGTCCGGTTTTGGTGGTCCCCAACCAGTATTATTAGATCTATATCTAAATGATATTTAACTTCACATTGTTTTTCCTTTTTTTATTACATAGCTTACCAACTGATCAACAGCCCATCACACCTTTGACAAGGGATTAAACACTCCCTATATAATCTATATTGTCTGCGTGTAAACAAAATACACAAGGATACTAAGTCTGGGGCGAAAATATTCGTGTACGAATAATTATAATAAAATAAAGGCATGGACAAAATCCGTTAATTGATATCATATGAAAGCAGACAGTAGACGACAACATATTTGTCCAAGTGGAAAGATTCAATCTTACATTTTATATCTGCATTTTCTTGGATAAACCTGTTTAGCTTACCCTTGCATGGGCGCAGACATATTGGATTCTACTTACTGCAAAATTGTGCGTAAAGTGCAAAATCTTTTTTTGTTTTTATTTTAAATACTGAAATAAATGATTAAATATTTAATTAATTTAATTGGTTATACATGTTTTATTATGTTGATTATATGATATGTTAAAATGGATATACACATAAATATTTAATGTACATCAATTTATAACCTTGACCTCCACGGTGTGTTGATATTTGTTTCAGTACTTCCTGATATTTGCTCATTTTGACAGATTTACACATTCATTATGGGTAACCGAGCTTCTATGCAGCTTCAAGAAGAAGAAATTCATGACATACAAAATGAAACAGGATGTAAGTTTATGTTTCAATGTTTGATTTTTTTGTTGAAGATAAATTTAGATTTTAAAAAGGGCTTCCATCAGTCTGATCAGAGCTACATGTATCCTACTGGTATTTCTAAGATCAAACTTCAAAGCTCAGGTATCATGGTATTTTATTAGGTCAGAAACCAGCACAAAATGTGAACAGATGTGAATTAACCATTGAAAATCCTCCAGATTTTACTGTTTAACACTAACAGTGTTTAACATAATTTTCTCTATCATTCTTTTATTTGGATATTATCACAAGGAACTTGATAGCCGTTCGGGCCTGTACCACTACCAAAAAATCTCGCTGTAAGTGAGTCATGTACCTCTAGTCTATACGCACTGTTGTTGAGGATAGCCATGAGCAATGAGCATTTTAAATATCAAATTTTAAGCGCAAAGATGAAGTCAGTAACTTGCACGTCTTAAATTACATTTTCACAAAGAATGATAATACAATATATATTTTTATGCCCCCGCCATATAATGGCAAGGGCATATAGTGTTACCCTTTTCCGTCATTCCGTAATTCCGTCCTTCCGTCATCATCAGTTTCCGTTCATTATCTTAATAACCGTTGCACATATTGAACTCAAATTTGACATATAGATATGTCATGAGAAAATACAGGTCAAGTTCGAAATTGGTCATGGTTCGATTATTTTTGGCAGAGTTATGCCCCTTTTACTTTGAAAATAATATGAAATTTTCAGTTTCCGTTCATTATCTCCCCAACGGTACAACACATTCAACTCAAACTTGACATATGCATATGTCATGAGAAAATACAGGCCAAGTTCAAATTTGGTCATGGTTTGATGATTTTTGGCAGAGTTATGCCCCTTTCACTTTGAAAATAATATGAAATTTTCAGTTTCCGTTCATTATCTCCCCAATGGTACAACACATTCAACTCAAACTTGATATGGATATGTCAAGAGAAAATACAGGTCAAGGTCGAATTTGGTCATGGTTCGATGATTTTTGGCAGAGTTATGCCCCTTTCACTTTAAAAATAATATGAAATTTTCAGTTTCCGTTTAATATCTCCCCATCAGTATTACACATTCATCTCAAATTTGACATATGGATATATTTTTGGAATGCGCAGGCCAAGTTTGAATTTGGTCATGGTTCAATGATTTTTGGCAGAGTAATGCCCCTTTCACTTTGAAAATGATATGAAATTTACAGTTTCTGTTCATTATCAACCCAACAGTGTTACATATTCAACTCAAAATTGACATATGGATATGTCAAAGGAATGCGCAGGTCAAGTTGGAATTTGGTCATGGTTCGATGATTTTTTGGCAGAGTTATGTCCCTTTCACTTTGAAAATAATATAGAAAAATCTTAGGAATAAGCGGTTTAAGTTGGAATTTGGTCGTTGTTCAATGATTTTGGACAAACTTATCTTTCCTGAATGTTGGAAAACTTTTGAACTTTCAGTTTCAGCACTCATACTTTTGTGGAAATGTATATAGCCATTATTTTGGCTACAAATATGCAATATGCTATTTTCAAAAGGTTAAGACTGAATAATTTCAGTGCCTTGAACATTGTATAAAAATGGTTTGTGTTAACATTGAAAAGTTTTAAGGGCTTTGAACATAGAATGAAAAAAATAATTTCTGCAAACAAATTTGGAACTAAATATTATAACATTTGAAATTTTGGCTGCATGCGGGGGCATCCGTGGTATGATGACACATTTCTAGTTTCAAAATACTTTAATGGATGATATTTGGTCATTTATATTATGACAAGATGTCAGATAGACTTACTGACGATTGACAGATTTATGATGTAAAATGAGAAAAAGTAAGCTCTGGCTATTTGACTTCTAAAATTGTAACTATAGAATCTACATAGCAACCTCTCTAACAGGATACCTATCAACTTAAATACACTTATTAACATTGTTATGAACTGGAAAATTAAAACAAAATTAATAGAACTACTAACCTGCTAACAAAGATTGAAAAGTAACCATCACATATAAATTATAAATATATGTTTATTTCAGTTTCCCACAATCAGATAGTGCGGCTTTACAGTAGATTCACCAGTCTTGATAAGAATAATAATGGCTTCTTAAGGTGAGAATGGCAATTGGCCTTTACCGAGTTTAATTATGTTATATTGTTTAACTCTACTTTGAACTTGGAACTGAACACTGAACATTGCTAAAACAAGGAATTTCATTACCAAGTTTATTAAGTATGTACAGCCAACAGTTTAAGCTCTAACATGACACCTAGTCAAAATATATTGACAGGCCAAAACTAGATTCTGAGATATTTTATTTTGTAGAGGCGACATATTGCCCAGACACAAAATAGCACAATATCTCATCATGCAGTACAATTAGTTGGACTAACATGACACTATACAGTTGGGATAGGCGGACACTTTAATTACTACTCGAGTTAAAAGTTAACATATTAAATTTGTTAAAGATACATGTTTTAAGAATCTAGATAATGTTCTTTAAGTGAGAATCAGAAAAGAACATGCACAATAGTAAATGTAAAGATTGCAGGAGAAGACTCTCAGTAGAATTCAAAATGTATTTAAAAAGTAATGATTAAATACATTAAATCTATGGTTCATACATAAACTTTTGTTAATATAGTATATCTATAGGTTTACATCATGTAACAGCAATTTAATTTACAGTTGGATGTTTTTTTATTTTACAGCCGTGAAGATTTTCTAAGAATTCCAGAACTTGCCATTAATCCTTTGGGAGACAGAATTGTTCATTCCTTCTTTCTTGAAAGGTAAATCAACTGTGATTTATTAGCAGTAATTAATGCAGACCAAGAACAGCCTGCACATGTGTGCACTCTGATCATGGTCTGCACAGATCATATTCTGTTAATTCAGTATTTTGAAATTTCCACCCAAAAGATTAATGGTTTTGTCTAGATTGAAAGATTGACTAGTCCATTTAAGATATTTAGTGTAGTAAGCAAATATAAGCTTTGATTCAGGATATTGTACCAGTATCATTTTATCTCTATAAGTTATATTAGGCTGTCATATTAAAATGAAGATTTTAAATATAATGACTAACTTAAATTTACATTTTATGATATATATTGTAATAAATACAACTTATTAAACTGTCTAGTTGACTGTGTTACTTTACAAAATTCTTTACTGTTGCTCTGTAACTAAGCTATATTAACTTATTCTAATATAATGTAGATATATGTCACTTTTATTTTGATTATTGAACTACATGTATATGATATAATCACATATTTGTAAAAGTTGAAGTGAAGTGGGAATGGTTTGTACTTCTGTCTTGTATGGATAAATAAATTAAATGTGAAATTGTTATATATACATACAAGAATTACTTGTGATGAAGAAATTTTAATGCCGATTACTTTAAGTCTGGCATGTGATTTTATACATTAGCCCACTGGTTGCTACTGATTCTGGCCACACAACCAGTGTTGACCAAGATCAGCCACCAATGGCATTCATTCAGTACTTATTTTAAAATTTGAATGGTTACGTCCAGTTTAATTGAATGATGGAAAAGTTGAAGACTATTTAAGATATTTAATGCGATAAGAATTAATGCTAAAGTGCTACAATGAAGCAACCAACAGTGTTAACATCAGGCCAGACTGCCTGGATAAGCAGTCACTGACAAAATGTTACACTAGTGGTATGATACTATATGATTAATGGTTTTATGTTGCAGCAATGATGAGACAGTGAATTTTAAACAGTTCATGAGAGTTCTTGCCAGGTTCAGACCAACCAAAACTAATGTGAACAAAAATAAGCTCAACACTAGGGAAGAAAAATTGAAATGTAAGTAAGATACTTTAGTCTCTGAAAGAAATAATACATGTATGTATTATGGTCTCTGACTTTAATTGTTTAACCCATTTCATTGCCTAGAAGATGGATATACCTGTCCTAAATTCAGTACCATCTACAAAATGCAAGATGAAATGATTGATTGGTTTCAAATGGAATTTATATTATATCTGTGGTTTGAGGTTTTATTACATGTAGTATCTTAACTTTGTCTTTTTCTTTCCATAAAAGTATGTTATAATGTTTGTTATATATCTCAACTTTGTCTTTTTCCTCCCATTAAAGTAAAGGTTTGATATATATTAGTTAACTTACATGAATGTAACATTAGTATCCATTTGTTATATAAATTCCTGCAATTCTTAGAAATGTCTAGAGCAAATACACTGTAATTACAGTACTGCAAGCATCTGCCATAATTGATGACGAGCACTATTCTTTGAAAAGATATTAAAGGTGTATACGGAAACCACATGTGGTACTAGACTAGCAAGTTTCTTGTTTGGTTTTCAGTTGCATTCCAGATGTATGATCTAGATGGGGATGACAGAATATCACGGGATGAGTTGTTAGCTGTCCTACACATGATGGTTGGTGATAATATATCAGAAGAACAGGTATATATCATTTAGTTTGTTAAACAAACAGATTTGTGCAGCTATGTAACTATTTGTTCAGACAGATGTATTTTAACCCTTACAATGACTGAAAAAATGCAGTCCATGTTGCCATTTAAATTGTCTGTCTCCTTTGATTTTCAATATTCATTAATTTGGTTTAAAATGTTGACATATTCCAACACATGTGATCACTGATCACTCTTATTTTTGCTACAGAAATTGTCCAGGTTTGGTTGAGATTCTCAAACCATGTGTTAAATTTCTTATTTGTTTTAGAATTAAACCATTTGATTGCATAGATTTTCTCTTGGGCATTGTGGGCATCCTTATGAAGTTTTTGTTAAGTGTTCTCTTTCTCTCATAGAGTTCTGCAAGTAGAATAAAACATATGTATTTATTCTTGCAAATAATGATATTTTTTTGTATTTCAGTTGAATAGCATTGCAGACAGAACTATCACAGAAGCAGACGAAGATGGGGATTTAATGATCTCTTTCCTTGAGTTTAAAAAGGTAAGTAAAAAATATTTGCTATACATTATAAATATATTATATAGTATACCACAGACAATTTATATACTTTGATTACTTCTTGTTACTATTTTAGTAACAAATTTATACAAACATGATTAATTTCCACACCAGGATGTATAAGTAAGGCCTAAAATAAAATTTGATTTGTTTCCCCTTCCCTACCTACCCCTACCCAAAAGATTTTTTTCACATTCTTAGGAGATGAAAGTATTTTTTTCTTTCAGAGTACAATAGGTACAATCTAATCTGATATGTTAGACAGCTAGCATAGTTAATATATTGTTGCATATGTCAGTTGTGAATATAGTATGCATTTACATAAGCTATTGCACTTAATAAATTAGCTTTAATAGTTCATTATACATATAATTATGCAGATTATTTATTATTATGCACATATAAAAAAAAAAATTTTCCTACCTACCTACCCAACCCTAATTTTAATGGGTCGGGAAGGAGAAACAAACATAATTTTATTTTGGCCTAAAATATGTATGTTTTGTAAGATAATATGAGTGATAAATATTTTGCCTGAGGCGTATTCAAAATTCATAGTATTGATTTTAATCTCCCTGTGAAAATATTAACCATTTAATACTGATATAACAGGATATGCTAACAGGATATGTTTCAATTATATAGCTGTGATTAATGATTATGGTTAACCTGAGTTTAATATGTATACATATACAGGTAACTAGGATGTGTTGTAACATCCTCGTTTGACTTGACAATTTTTGTACCTTTAGAAATTGCACATACTCAGTATTACTTATATAATCATATATGGTCTGGTTTATTTTATTCAAATTGCTAGGAATTTTAAAAGTAAATCATTAATTGAATGAATAACTTCAATGAATAGCACATTCAATTTAATTCATGTTTAAATTTATTGACTAATGTTACCAATTTTACCAATTACCAAAATAAGTTAAAAGCTCTGTAGAAAATAGAAAAGCTCTGGACAATTTAATACAGTTATTATCGTTTATCATTCACACTTACAGCTCGAATCATGATCTGTTTACATCAATATTGACAAAAGGGGTGTCGATAATTCTTATATAAAAGCATACTATTTATCGTTTAAATCTTTAACTACCTAAACAATTACTCATGTTTTAACCATTCAGCATAATAGCGTAGTCGTTGAGTGTTGGCTTCGTCAGTGTAGAGACCCTGGTTTGATTCTTGGAAAAGGCATTTTTTTTCTTTTATTTCATTTTTTGTTTTTAGATATTTTTCAAAGAACTGGATTTAAGTTCCTCATGAATTTATTTTACACAATTCTATTTGAGAACATTTAGTTTAACACACAATCGCTTTAACAAGTAAAGTTAGAGACAACACAGTCGTAATTATAGTGATAGAAATTTAAATATATCAATACACAATGAGCCGAAATTGTTAAAAAATATAGCAAACTGAATTCAGAATTTTAAATAGAATTAAATTGACAATACTTTTCAATCTGTTTGATGACTGTTAAAATCAAATACATTTAATTTTGCTAAATTGTTTTAAGTTTAACTTTAAATTGTACAAAATATTAAATTAATCACAGGTTTATAAAAGAGAGTATGAAAATGTTTTCTGGAAGTAAAAACCATACAGGCATAAAAATATTGCACAATTCCAGATTTGAACTCGAAATATAAGGCATTTTCTTAACATTAACTCCTCTTACATGTCATAATCAGAACTCTCTAACCACTACGCTACTTTGATTTACGTGTCTCTGTCCAATTTAATTCTTTTTATTGCAGTAAAAATGCAAAAAGTAATAACTGAATAACTTGCACAACCCATTATATCATAATGGTTTGACTGATTAATGTAAACGTTATCGTGTTCAACTTATACTTTGCTTAATGCATGTAATGAATTTATCTTTCTTTGACTATGAAACTGAACATTGTAAGGGATTTATCATGTAATAGCAATAATATTGAGCAGGTAACAGACCAGTTGGGCAAAACTTGTCTAACTGTATACTGGTGACTCTTATGATTCATTATTGCTGTCATTTGCTGATAATGTTCAAAGGATTTAAACTCACCAGTTTACTGGTGCAGAATGTGCTGCAGTCTTCATTTAGCATTGTTTATGCTCCTGTTAATGTATAATGGTATTGTTATGTATTTTATTTAGGTCATGGATCGTGTAGATGTTGAACAGAAAATGAGTATACGATTCCTGAACTAACTGTGTAAACATTGTCAATATGTAGCAGACAGGGAGTATTGTGTATCCACAGATGCTGGCAGTGAACAGTTGCAGGGAAGTGACAATATGTGTAGAAATTTCCATTCAAACATGATGAAGAACTAATGTTTTTGTTTAGTATTTTCTGCTTTTTGCTTTATCTTTAAATTTATATTTCTGTTATATTATAAAATACATGAATAGTACTACATGTCACTCAACTGCTTGCAGTTCATGAGTTTAACATTCATATACAATTATTTTTAAAAATTGTTCACTTTTGAAATTAGGACAGCTTGGTTATTCTAAATCATAGTAAGGTTTTTTTATAAATATAAATAGTTCAAAGATGTAATCCATTAAATATAAGTACTTTGTTAATAAAAAAACTACACAAGGACATATCCATGCAGCACTGTTATATTTCTATACACTGTCTAAGTGTTGTAATAACATGAACAATATTGCAAATATTCCTGATACTATCTGTTACCTTGTTTTCATTTCTGGACAGGTTTTGCATTTTAATTTTTATATTTTTCTTGCATTGTAAACAGCTAAATTGTTTTTATATTTTGGTTGTGAAAGTGATGTAATGTTAGTAATAGAGTATGCCAGACTTTTTATCAGGAAAACATTTTGTAAAAATTCTAAGTGCGTGACATTTTTTTAAAGAAATCTTGATAACGTTTCCTATATTGAAGCTATTGCTCTATTTTGATATTATTTGAAAGTTTTTCATTTGTTTCCATATACATTATTTGCCCCTCAGTTAAGTTATCAAGATTGTTGACTTTGTTTTTATATTGTATTAAAATAAAAAATCTATTTTTCTATTTTTATGTATGAAGGAAACTGCTAGGAGTACCCTAGCTACTAACTGGTGTGGAATATACCAAAATCTAAACTAACAAACATTCTAGTAATTCTGAACATATTTGGGGTTTTGTACATAACTAGCATATCTACCAGTTATGATATTTTTGTTATTGTTTGCATGCTTTCCAAAATTTTGATTTTTTTTTTGTATACAAGTATATATTTATTGCAATATTTTTTTTGTATGTGAATGTATTGAAATGTACCGTATATAAGTAAAATATTTAATATATATTATTTGTTTGTAAAAGTGTCTGTAACATAAATTAGCTATATTTTCTTACTTGAAGCTCTTGCAATTTATTATTCATATTTAGCATGTGTTGTTGAATGTATGAATTATTTTTAATTGTAATTAAATACAAGAGTCGCAGTAAAAAGTCCCTCATTGGTAAACTATTTTCATATGTATTTTAAAATCTAATATTATAGTGTATTTATAAAATAATGGTATAAGTAGCTTATAAAGAATTTTGATGGCCCACGATCCAAGAAAGGGCATTTCAGTATTAATTGCGTGTTGAGTGTCATACAAGCCCAGCAACTGTTCACTGATTTTAGGTAACTAATAAGGTATTTCAAAATACTTTCAAGATCTCCTTCTTTATTGTATCCTTACATGAACTTTGAATTCATGGTATGGTAAAATTCAAAGAAGAATAAAAATTAACGTGTACATTTATTGTTTATATTTTGACGAATTTTGGTAACCCGATTAAATATTTACTTATGATAGCATTGGACTTCTGACTGAATTGCACAGATTATTTATCATTCTTGAGGCTATATACAATTCAATTTATACATTTTATATTTATAATTTACATAAACTTATTATATAGAATATTTTAATGTTTTATCACAATGAAAAAAAAAATCCATGACTTTGTGGTTTCATTGAACGTAATCTTCTATTTTGTTCAGTCCCTAAGTATGTTTTTGAAATCCAGGTTTGATGTTGGTGTTGTTTAAACAAATGAATTTTTAAATATACATGGATTATAATAGAAATGAAATTATTGTGTGTTTATTGATTGAATTTCAGAAATATCAATAATAATTAGGAAATAGATATCAATTTTGAGTGCATTGTAGAATAATGCATGGTTTGAGTTTAAATGCTTTGGAATGTAATTACAAAGGTCGATAGGTCACGGTGATTAATTTCAAAGAGTTGGAATGATAAACTGCATTATTTTACAATAATGAAAGAAAATTAAATATCTATGTCTATTCTAATATGCTAACAAAAAAAATGGAATTGATAAAAAAATGTTGAACTACATTCAGCATAGAAGTAATTTTCCTAATGTCATTTGTTTTATTGACGTCATATCTGACATCGTATGATGTGTGAGCATTCCTTTTTATGCTGTGCATATACAGTGTAATAATTTCAAAATCAAACAGAAGTATAATGTATGTTTTTTGTTTTACTTATCACAATTATGAAGAAGGAAGACTGTTTTTGTGTATACTTTAACAATAATATTTCAGCTTAGCATACATGTGACATAATTACGTAAGGATTCAATTATTGGATTGTTCTTACAATTACTATGTAGGTCAGTAATTGAGCAGCTTTGTTTTGTTTAAAATTTTCTGATTCTTGTTGTTTTGCTTGAAAAGCCATTAATATTTTTTTTAATATTTCTAAAACTGCATCCTACAATTCTGTTATATGTATTGATATTTTAAAGTTGTGTGAAGGTTCATGAAATTAAGGATCTTGCCAACACTTTTTACATTTCAAATTTACAAGATTAAAACCATTTGCATATAAGGAAGGTTATGGTTCTACCTTGTGTTGTTAGACATAAAGGTAAAAATCAAAATGTAGTCATACAAAAACTATATGTATTGACTTGATTAAAACCAAATAAGTTATACATTAGCTGTTAAAGGGAACTAACCCACACAATGGTCAAAACTGAGTAATCTTCCTTGATCTTCTTAATCGCCAGACAAATAGCGTTGAGGTTACTGCACATGTCAACAAGTTATAGATCTGTAAATTAAACCATATACTTTATTACCAAGTTATTTAATTAAACAAGACTGTAGAAAGTAGCTTCAAATATTAGATTAGATACATTATTCCAGATGGGGTTATAAGTAAAGTATTTAATAATGTGTACTCAGAAAAAATAGAATAGTTCTGTTGAATTATCAAATTTAATTTTTGGGGACATAAATAACAGCTTAATATCATACTTTATGATTCATTTATATTTGATTATTTTAAATACATGTATATTTTTTGTTGTTTGTTTAGTGCTTGTCTGATTTTCTGTGTGCCATTTTATATAAAAATTAACATATGTTTGTCACAAATGTTTTGATTTTTGGAAAAAATAAAATCAGCTTTTTGGGTCTTTTTGAGTTTTTATCAAATTTGATTTAACATAAATTCATTAATATGAAATTTTATACTGGTAAGCATTTGAAATAAATCCAATTAGAATAGTTTTTTTAAACAACTATAATTCTGTTTTCCCTCAGCATTCAGACACATGCCATTATTTTAATCTTGGTAAATTATATTTTTTCTGTGATAGAGTAAATGTTTCCTTTGTCATAAAAATGTTATATACATGTAATAAAATAAATGAAGTTTTAAAAAAGCTTGTTTATTTTTTGTGCAACATGGTATTAGTCCTTATTAGTTGTTTTGTAAAAAGGGTTTTTAAGATAGATGATACAGGATGTGTACTTGGAGCCTTGTGGTTGTTAACTCATTTACTGGTTTTAGGAAGGCGTCAAACTGACATGAGTTTGTTTATATGAAGGCCTAGAAAGTGTCTGGATTCCTGGAGATGCCTTTTGGTTTATCTAGAGTTAAATGAATACACTCGGGGATTGTTAGAAATTGTAGGAATACAAAAAAAAATTTATTTTCCAACATTCCTGGAAAAAAGTATAGGTAACAGGGCTGTGAACATACTATGCCCGACTTGTCCGTCCCAGACAAGTAGATTTGTCCATTGAACTTTCCATGGAGAAGTGAAAATCTGAGCCAGTAGGAAAAACACAATACTGTATTTCTATCCCTTAACTTGGGTAACATTTATTCTAGTAAGTTAATTTATAATTAGGAGTAAATACCCTTTTGAATCAACTTCACTGCATGGGAGAGCTTTTGTAGGAAGGGCATCAGAAAGCAAACTCCCCTATACATGTAGGTTACTCGTTAAAGTTTATTCTAACATGCACATTTAGTTATAATTGGGAAGTTGTTTTAGTCGTTCTTTATAACTGCATGCATTGACTTGGTTTTTAGATAAACAAAGTGTTCCACTCGAAAAGCTTTAACCTTAATTGTAGAGAAACAAAAAAACTCAAGAACCTATGTTCAGATTTTATAAGCACCAAAATGAGGATAGTTCGGACATGATTCATTGACGAATGCTTCTTCAAAGTGCAAAAATGAAGTGTGGACTTTAAATTAGTAAATTTACTAGGACACTATTTCCTCTCATTAACTTGTGTTAAAACATATTACCAATGTTTTGTATTTTTATATGGGCAAGTAATGTTAAGATGCAGACAAGTATATAATTCTGCCCGACTTAACTGGAGCAAGTGGCAAAAATTCACATTTCCACATTCCTGGGCAACATATGCAATTTATAGGAAACTGATCAGAAGTCACAATTACAAAGTTGCATTACGGTATTTAGTAATTATTATATGACTAATAAGGAGCGTTAGATTGACAAAATCAGATATCTATGCAACTTTTCCTGCTTGTTGTAGTGACCACTCTTATAATGCTGCTTCCCAGAAGTAATGTGCTGTAGAAACATTAACATGACATCATACCCAGTAATGTTGAAACACGACTTACTTTATAATTGGTAGCAAAAACTCAAGACCACAAGCTCAAACCTATGTTCAGATTTTATAAGCACCAAAATGAACAAGGAAGACGTTTTTGTTTCTGGTTGTTTATACATAGAGCCAGAATAACCTATAGAGTTGAGACCTTTGGTGTTTTTCTGGGGAGGACCACATCCAAGACAGGTCAACCAATCATACCATCTATAATGATCTTCCTAGATCAACTAAATGAATTCTCACATTGAAGGTCGACACTTCAACATGGATGCCCCTATAGCTGTTAATAGAATTAGTAATGAGTATTCCATCACCAGTGAAAGCTAGATAGCAACATTTCACTTCTCAGAATCTATTTTCTTCTGAATAATCCATTATAATTTTTAGTTTTTTTAATTTGTGGATGACAACAACTTCAATAAAAATTGGCAAACTGAATGAGAATTTAACAAGAAGATTTGAGCCGCGTCATGACAAAACCAACATAGTGCGTTTGTTGACCAGCATGGATCCAGACCAGCCTGCGCAGTCTGATAAGGATCCATGCTGTTCACTTACCATCTCTATTACAAGTAGAGAAACTGATAGCGATCAGCATGGATCCTGATCAGACTGCGCAGGCTGGTCTGGATCCATGCTGGTCGCAAACGCAATATGTTGGTTTTGTCATGACGCGGCTCATTTAACCAGCTTAAAATGGACACAATTGTAAGCCACAGGAGAAAATAAAACACTAACAAACTTGAATTTAAAATCAATTTTAATGCCAGAAATTAATTTATTTAAAAGAATGATTTAAGTTAATATTTATATAGCAGAGAATCCTTGCATATATAAGTCAAGCATCTTGAAAGCTAAAAAATGAAATGAAATCAGAATGATCAGCGTGGTCTTTAACAAGAAATAAAGTTCCATGAGTCATCGATAAATACATAGAAATAGTACAGTGATTTCCGTCAATCATAAACAGCTCAGTACAGATGTGAATTCTTGCCTTTTTACCACTTTTACACTGAAATTCACATAGCACAATTTTGTTCTTTATTTTGTAGATTATGATGAAATGGTTGCACAAATTATCAAACAATGAATTACAACAAATAGTTTTAAGTATTTGAAATGACAAATTCATTTTATATAACATCAACAAAAGTGATTTTGAAAACTAGTTCAGTTCCACTGTTTAACAAAGGGTAGCACTTAAGTTTTAGTGAATGAGTATATATTATGTAATTTAACATTTTGAAAAATAAAAATTTACAGAAACCATAAGTGGTAAAATGTAATCAATACATGTCCATTCAACATTCTTATATATAAAATGAATGATCAGAAAATTATAAAACATTTCAAACTTAGCTGAATCGCAATGAATGCTAAAATTTACACGTAATTGCCAACTAAATTGTAATGACAGTCTGACAGTCACATATTCCTCAGTATTTTTAATTACTTCCAGAAAATGTCATATGGCACATTTGCTTCTAATGTTTTTTTTTATACCTTCTCAATAAGAATACATTAAACATTAAGTTTAGGATTAACTGCCCTTCAGGTAGTATTTATGCAAGATCCAAGAATTTTACTTTCATGTTCCCCAGGTTATAAAGAAATCTTATTTGCTCACTGAGATCTCTGGTGTCTGATTGGTCATAATCTAAAACAGAATGTACACTGACCAATGAAAATCCCAAGATCTGAGACTCAGAAATAAGTTAAATAACATCTCTGCTCGGTCAAACTACAGTCAACCACATGTATAGGTAATGGTAATTATCAAAGGGAAATATGTCATATAATGTTGAATGAACATGCATAAAGATATACTGTATCAAAACATGCATAGAATATTAAGTTTATAAAACAAAACATTTAATTTTTAACCAAATTTTGCCATCATATGGCCTCGATGTCATTCCAAGAAAAATTGAAACAGAAAATTTACATAACTTGAATGATAAGATGTATAGTTAATAAAAGTTTTTAATTAGGCTTCTTAGAGATGAAAAAATCCCTACTTTACTTTCATTTACATTAGCATAACTATATACATTGTTATCTGAAAATCCATTCAATTTTGTTATGTTAACTTCAGTAAGAAAATAGAAAAATTAACCATAAATTAAATTTTCCAAGAAAACAGTTGTCTTTTAATCAATGTTATGCAATGTTTAAGTTACCAGAAAAATAAAACTGCTCTATTGAGTATGTGATACATTTTCTGTAAACCATCTTTCCTTAATTTAAACAATATCTAAAACCTTTATATAATGTTTAGGAAATTGAAATTAATTTTTTATTTACTTTTTCAGATTAATACTTCAGAATAAACTGTGTACATTTCGGTAAATTATTATAATAATGAAATCTGAACATTTCTATATGATTCTTTAATCATTGCTATATAAAAGGGGAAACAACTCTATATTATCTACCACATGTCATATACATGTACATGTATTTGATTCCTCCAAAGACTTCAACAAGACAAACGATTTACCAAAATTTACATATATTATCTTATTGATAATTTTATCAATATATGAAATAATATCAGCATTTGAACTATTTGTATTAAAACATAACACACTATTCTTGTGACGATATAATGGTTTTATCATCACTCTTAGATACAATTAAAACTGTCAGAAATAAAAAAACAAGAGAGCAAACAATAAAGTCACATGGCGGCTGTATCACATGATAGTGATAGCGTCATTGTCCTCCGCCTCATTGTCTGCATGTATGACATCAGAGGTCACATGATGTTGGGACCTTCAAGACGAACTCGATACAGCAAGCTTCTTCAAGTGTTCCATAAATACTTGTAGACTGACATCATCTGTGAGTACAGCTGCGCTTGCATCCTGAAATAACAATAAAGAAATATTATAACTTAGACAATGACATAGTACCCATAATCAACAAAAAAATAACTGTTCTAGCTTTAGATTATTAAATACCATATCAGCAAGGAAGTTAGTCTTTACCATTCCATGTATTTTACCGGTCACGCTTCAATGCCAAATTCAATTAATTATGTTAAAAGCTAATTTATTTTGTTATAATTGGTTGCATCCTTCTATACATGTACAATGATTAACATAATACTCAGCTAAAATATACATCCAAGCAAGTTTTATCAGCATTCTCTTACTATGAAATTGTAAAATAGTTCTCTTTTTTTTTATCTCCATAAGATTCTATAAATCATTTATAAAGAAGCATCAGAAATAGACAGTAAACAACTTATGGCCATGCAAGATGCAAGCCCCTAACAGAGAACATGATAATATATCTTTAATAATTAAAGTTAAATTAGATGAACAGACATATATCAGCGTGTACAGACCACCAACAAGCTTAAATAATGAATTACTATCTAAAAGTCATATCCCAAACACTCAAAGTTTATATCTCTTTAATATTGTTTAAAAATATATTTCCAATACCCTTGAAATATATTCACGGTTCTTTTATTACCTATAACTAAATGTATATAGTTCTAAACTACCCTATGTTTTAATTCATGCATGTGTATTTCCTTAATAACCTGAAAACTTACAGAAATAAAATTGCCATATACAGTTCTAAATCCCTTGAATGTTTACAAATGCAGTAAAAGAAGTGTTCTCTTAAATACTGACCAACCCCATTCTACTTCAATATGTTTATATAGCTACCAGGTAATGGGGTAAAACCATAAAAGCATGCAAGACCAATTTGACAAGTTAAATTAATATCTTTACACAGTCTATCACTATTTTATAATCAGGTTTTACCACAACTTTCACCACTATAGGGATCATATTTACATCTTTCCAGTTTTTTTTTAAAAGCTTGCTAGAGCTAAGCTTTTCAGATCAGCCATATTAATACATGTACATTTGTGTACATGTATATATATTATTAAGAATAGTAAAATAGTTGGTAGTTTTTTACCTGTTCTCAAAATTAAAAACAAACATCTGACCAACATATCAAAATAATGTTTATTAATTTTGTACCCTACACCTTGATTCTATACATGAACTAAATGGTTTTCATTAAACATTTACAATTTTCTTATACTAAACCAATGAATACAGCAGTTGAACTAAAGGCAAAGGTAATGAATCCTGTTTTGAAAAATAACGATTTCTGCCACCAAACCAAAAATGCCAGGATATAAAAATAGAATGGTCATATACAATACCTGAGAGCCCCCTGTACCCCCTGACATTGGTATCTGATAACAGGTAAATAATATCTCAATATAAACATAGATACCTCATTAGCAGGTCAGTTCATTTATATTTGATTATCTCTTGTAAAGTAAATATGCAATTAAAAAAAAAAAAAAAAAAAAAAAAAAAAAAAAAAGAGGAGAAAAAGAATGGAGAAGAAATTAAAAGCAAGGTATTGAAATTATATGAGGTAGTAATTATTCTTGGTCTATCTGAGGTAAAATAATCTAACTTTTCCCAAGTCAGGCTGCTCTAATTGGTCATGAATTTTATCTTTTTTGTTTAGTTGAACTTTATCATTAGAAGAATATTTATGCAACAAAGCAAAGATATATTTAAAGATTGTGTTTATTTGCAGCAGTAAGTATATGAAAAAGATGGTTTGAAGTAAGTTTAATAAATTCATTTAAAAAATCATTGAATTTTAGAATATTTGTTCAGTCAGTATTTTTGCACTTAAGTACAATATATTTATTACATGCTTTTCGGTGGTTTATAGAAATATATCAGTGAAATAAAAACTGATAATTTCACTGTTTTGAATATTTGAGCCCGTTACGTTGTTTCAGTGAAATACAAGCGTTCACAGTACTGGAAACCAACTTAATGACGTGACGTCGTAAATGACGTCAGGTTGTATTATTATTTGGCGCCCTTTTCAACTAGTACTAGGTTAAAATGTCTTTTTAAACGTTTCTTTGCAAATAATAAAAAGAAAATTTGTTTAGTTTAATGTAAGATCGAAATATATTTCACCTCGTGAACACCAAAAGTTCATATTTCACTCGTGGCTGCGCCACTCGTGAAATATACCTTTTGGTGCTCACTCGGTGAAATATATTCCGATCTTACACTGAACTAAACAAATATCCTCTATATACACATGTACTTGAATTTAGTACACAGTTATGGAATGCGATTTGACTAGTACCAAAGAAACCTGACATAAATTCTAACATTGTAAAACAGTTGCTGCTCTAACCATTAGATAATTATATAACTATATTCTAATATCTCTAACATTATTATTTGTGACAAAATGAAATGACTGTGAAGAAAATAAAGGCATGAAATTAGATTAGAGTCTAAGATAATGTTAATGTGTATGTAGGTAGACAGATAATGACTATAATTAAATGTGCTAATTTTTGTGTGCAAAAAGTGACATTAATCAAAAGATCTTATATAGTGTAAAATAATGAGTTTTATTTACTTATAGATAAAGTAGAACTAAAATAAAGAGTCATATATAAGTCTAAGTGAAGAAATTTGTTACAATGTGACCCATCACAACAATACAATAATTAATACTAACCCCTGTTCCTCCCTAAAATATGCATAAATAAAATGATCCATCAATTAATTTATATAAGTTATTATAATAGCTCAAATACAAAATCAATCTGCATGGATAAGCATTAGATTACAATTAGATATATGGGTTTAGGTGTGAGTATATTATACAAATATGGCAACAATTGTCAGTTTAATGGTTGCTTAGCAACACAGGTGTATGATTTCTTTAAGCCAAAAAAGGTACATTTCTGGTTTCCTACCAAGTGTAATGCTTGCCCCTGACTGAAACACAGTTGGCAGTCAAATAAAATATATAAAAATTTGCATTCTTTTATTAATCTAAAATTAATAAAGGCTACAATTTTACCTTTTTTCAGTAGTTTATTTTTTTGTTATCTTAAAGAGGGAACCAGAGACAGACCGAATATTTTAGCTGTAAAAGTAGCCATTTTATGTCAACTGATATAAGTGTTATACAGAAAAAACTAAAAAAGTCATTCCGTGTAAAATATACAATTAAATAAAACTGGGTGACTATCATTGCAGGTTTGACTTATCAATGGTACTATATGTAATATGAGGTGAAGAACAGCAATATAGAAAGTGACTACTTACAGCTCCATATGCATACATGTTATTATGGGTCTGTGTTGGATTCACTCTGGACAACAAAAATCTCGCCTGTAAAAAACAGAAATAAAAGTAAGGACTTACTACATGAAAGTACTAATGCTAGAATAATATTAACTTCCCTTTATCTGTATTAATCAAAAGGAGAAAAGTACACTTTCTTTTCCAACAAATATAAAAGAAATAGTTATGACTTTTTTGGCAGTTTTGATAAAGAATTGCCTATTTCTCTGAATATCAAAGACACATTATGTATCAGTTGACATGGCATAAGAACATTTGTAAGCAAACCAACAAGATAAAAGCCAGGAGTTTCTTACAATATTTTATTGATCAAAACAATAAAATGCCATCTGGTAATAAATATAAAATTTCTATATAAATCTTTTAACTTATTTCAATTTCTTATCTCAGTCATTTGTTTGACATATAAACATATGTAGTTTACCTGTGAGCCACCAGCCTCTGTGTCAATATATCTTGGCATAGGAAACCTGGTCTGCAGGATTTCCTGAGCATCATCTACAGGTGCTTGCAGTAACTGTTTAAAGTTCTCATACTCCGGTAGTTCCTGATACTTCTGGGCACGCCACTGACTTATTGTCTATGTAATAAAAATAACATTCATTATAATAAAAGTCAAAATAGACTAGTACATGTAAATATATACTACAAGTCATAATGATCAATTTAACAAAAATTCATGTATACTCAAACTTAATACAATTAACATGCAAATGTTGGAATATTACTATACAGAAAACTATTTTACTATCAACAATGTTTATAGATTCTTTTATTACATCAGTACTGTATCATTCATGCTAAACTTCCATATAAAAATAAATCTACATCCCTTATCAATAACAATATATTATTGGGACCTACCTCTCCATGATATATAACAATCTGGAAGAAAGTGTCCATCAACAGAATTCTGTCAGGTTGTATACTACTTGTGTCTAATAAAACAGGCTGAAATAGAAAATAAACCGACTTGTTAACCCTCTACATGCTAGAATTCCGTAAATGGACTTGACTATCTATCTGGACAAAACCATTCATCATTTTAAGGGAAAATGTCAAAATATGTAAAGACTGAATGGCAAACAGTAAAGACCATCCTGCACAGATGTGCTGGCAAGATATGCATATTTATCTTGGTCTGCACTGGTCACATAGTTATTTTCTGTCACTGCTTACAGGTTAAAGGTTAACAGTTTACACAAAGACAGGAATATATGCAGACAATCAACATAAGTACTTACATTTAATACATATCATATTGTTTGTTCGTTCTGTTAAATTTTATTAGAAATAGTTATACATGTACTATCTTTATACACCACTGCTGCAGATTCATGAACTAAACTTGATCTTTTTTCAAAGAAAGTAATTATACTGTCGAGTAATATATTTTCCTTTGTAAAGGCTTTTGACAGGGTGCATGACTAGCCTTTGTCACTAATATTGAGCCTGTCAGATGATGCTTTACACTGATGGCTGATTTATTTTTTCTTCATGATAAGCCTTTAAATAGATAATTAGCAGTTCCATAATGTAAACTGGAAAAGTCCATTAAAATAATGATAAGGGTTAAAATGGTAATGTAAGATAAAAGATATCCTTACCTCAGGAGTGCCACTAAATGAGTATGCATACAATATAGGCTGTATCATAATTAAACTTTGTGTAAGGTCCTCTATATTCAACATGTGCCTGAAATAATAAAATTAACTTATTGTTTAAAAATATAAATTATACTAATTAAAAGGTTAAATAAATCAAATAATCTCCTTTAAATTAATAAGTACAAGGCCGATACATGTAGATTAGCGTAACTGTGTTACATTCAGTTACAAAGTAGTGCTTTAAAATATTTTGTCATGCAAATAATACTTCCAAAGTTTGAAACAACATCTAATAAAAATATTTCTTAGAGAAACAACATTCCAACTTAATATCTTATAACTGCTTTTTATGTTATGAATTGTTATAGCATATACCTATAATATGAAGTTTCATCTGGACTATTGTTAAAAACTTGAAGAAACTGTGACCGTCGTAAATGAAACATAAATTGTGGGTATAGAGAGAAGTTTTCCGAGAATCTAAATGAGTTCGGATCATCTCTATGATAATCTCCAAACTTCTGACACTGAAAATACAACAACAAATATATACACTTTAAATATATAAAATTTAACATCAAATATATACAACTGAACATCAAATATATACTTATTATCAATTTTAATATATTTGAGTGCTACTGGATTAGCATATTAATCATCATCATTCCACAACTTTTAAAGGTAGACACAGATTGGCACTTGATTAGAACAAAAACTCTTCTTTAAGCAAGACATTGCACTTAATTAGAACAAGTATTCTTCTTTAAGGAAGACAGTTTTCTTCTAAACTTTGAATGATACAATTTGCCTGTTTAAGAGTTTATTCAGAAAGTGAGAGGTATCTAGTTCAAAACTTTAACTAATTGGCAATGAAAACTCATTTAACATCATGTCAAGGGGGGTGGGAGGTGAGGGGGAGTAAATCAGCTACAAGTGTAGGACACTCATTGATTAAACTATCAATTTCACCACAAAACTTTTATTGAAGAAATTTATTCCAGACACATAGCTTACTATGACAGATACAACAATTTTTACGAATACTTTATAATGCAAGGCAACAAATAATTTTCATAAATATGAAATGGTCAAGTATATGAGGAGTAATAAAAAGAAGTAAAAACTTACAAGACGAATCAACATTCTATCAAGCCATCTTAAAACATCAGGCCCGTCATCTGTTTCTGCTCTAAACACGGCAGTTCTTGCCATAAGAACAGCGGCAGCTTCCTGATCAAAACCAGCAGAGATATGCTGTATGTTTGAAACAGCGTCTGCCCAACTAAAACATACATGTTAGATCTATATAAAACACTTTGTTACAAATTGATATGTCAAGATTTATCGACATTGTTTCAAACAAAAGAAACATGTCAACTTAACATTTCCTTTTTTTCATATTTTGCTCCACTTCTCTTTATTAGATAATCAATATTTATTAAAAAATCAATTTAATTATGTATCCAGATACTTTCATAAAATTCAATCGAGTTGCAGCAGTATTTAAAATTGAACTCTTATTATTGTACAAGTATAACTAAAAAATAAAGTTTTACATTCTGTGCTATAATAGTAAATCTTGTACAAGTGCTGGTATATGTGCTTACTTTCTTGCTACTGTTGTAACTCTGACACGTCTTTGACCACTAGAGTGTTGATACTGTGTTATATATTGTATATATCCTCTCCCTCCTTGAGGTATTGGTGCATTGTGCTGAAACATTTACATATACAATGTAGACAAATGTTGACTGAAAACTTTCAATAGTAAATATGCCATTTCATATAACCAAAAGTAAAATATAAGGCAGACTACAATCTCCATCCCAAACTCCAGTTTTATAAACAAAAGCTCAATATCTCTTTTGTTTCCATATTAACACAAGTTTTGCTTTTCACCAGAATTATCTTCTTTCTTTTAGAACTGTAAACCAGTGGCATAATTATCCTTACATTTAAATATCTTTCGCATTTCCCTTTTTTAAAAATTTTATATAGTGATTGAACAAATAACTGAAATACCTGGTTAACAACTTCAAAGAAGAAAGCTAAAGTTGAGTTAGGGTATAATCCACACATCTTCCACTGACATGTTCCACCAAGTCCCATTTCTGTATCCGACACTGAGGAACTCTTCACACCAAGAGATACACAAGGTCCAACTGCCCCTGATACCTTCAACTCTCGAGACGTCTGGAAAAAGTTAAAATATACCTTTCCTACAAATTTAAGTTACAAAACGATTAAACCCCTAGTTTAACTATCGTAAACAGCAGTCCATTTTGTGCTACATATCACTGATTGAACATAAATGAAGCCATGGAATCTATTAAAGATATTTCATTCCAATCCTATTAACAAATTTTAAACATTTTATACATGGTATCATTTTCTGATCATCGATTAAATAGATATTTTCAAACTTCACATGTAATGTAAGTAAAACCCCTGAAATCTGTATCCGAATTTCTTTGATAGAATGAAATTAAATTGCTTTATTTTCAGAAAATGATTTGTTGTGAAAGGGAGATACAAAAACAAATGAAAATAAAGGAAGAAGGAAAAACAATTTCAAAATACCTTCACTTCTACAGTAGCTCCAAATGCCATTTTAAACTCCGATTTTGCATCTTTTGAAAACACTCTTTGGAAAGTTTGTTTGAACAGTGATGTGTTGAAGGAGTCACCCATCACCATGTGACCACTATAATAGATTCAAAAGAAAACATGCATTACCAGAAAAGAAAAATATTTCAAACTCTTTCAACTCTTTAAGCATTAAAATCTTACAAAGCACTATTCCATAAAATCTTATATTAACTTATAATGTTAAACAGTATTGACTCTTTAAGTGAAATATTACCAGGGATACTGGAATTTGGCAAGAATTGAGTATATGTAAACACTTACCCAGTATATCTGGAGCAGAATTTCATCTCATGTAGACCGGTCTGATCGAGGGCGCAGGAGAATATATCAATCACATGACCATTACTAGCTGCCCTATTAGCCAAACCTTCATAATGCTGTCAATTATACATGTACAATTAAATGTTAATGGCATTTTACATATAATCACTTATATAATTATATATGTGTATCATTATAAATCAAATAAACATTCAGTAAAAACACACATACTTTTCTATGAATTATCTTAATCAATAAAACTTCTGGGGTTAAAAAATACTTCAAGAACATCCCGATTTTTTTTTTCATTTACTCTTAGATTGAATTTCTTTTTATCAAAAATCACAATGTCAAATGATGTAAGAAATATTCTGTGTTCAAACACTCACCTTCATGCCTTTCTTCATGTATTTGCAATTGTCCTTCTCAATGTCATGGTGAGATCTGATTGGGAATTTTAGCTCCTCTCCTACCACCATACCGGGACCCTGAGTACAGGCTCCGCCCATAAACAACATTATTCTTGCTCCAGTATTTGGAAATGTGCACTAAAATATGAAGTTAACTCAAATTACAAACAAGAATTAAATATAAATCTTTTCTTATCAAAAGCAATACCTGTATACAATATTGTTTGGATGTGAAAACAAGATTCTGAAGATATGACTAAATGTGTGCCATTTCTAAATTTAATTAAAAAATCTCTATAAATAAACAGTGATTGATCATTTTCTTGTTTAAAATAATGATATAGATGCATTATTAGCACACAGCAAGTCCCTACCTCAAGCAGCCCTACAGCAATAGAGAGAGCCACCCCTGTAGACCTCAGTGGTCTCTTGCCTTGAGCCACAGGCCATGGGTCACGCTGTAATTCTCCTAGTAGGTCTGTCAAGCTGAAGTCACACTTGTGAACTGGCTGTAAAAATCTGGAAGGAACAATTCAATCAATGAATATAAAAAGAAATCAAGCATTTAAATCAACTAAAAACAGGTTTCATTATAAAATAATAATCTGGCATTAATTGCTTTAGATTATTTCTCAAATGGTCATACTTCTTTCTTTTTTAACTGACACTCATATTTTCATATCATGACCTTCAATTAGCCATCTCCCGTTACTGGTGAAGAAAAGCCTGATGTTCCACTGTATAACTTTCTTAACCCTTTCGCTGCCAGAGGGTTATTGTTTTATTGTTCACCTAATTGCCAGAGGGTTTTCTAAGAAATTACTATATTATTAATAAATATAATTATTATTATTTGTTATTAGTATTATAAATAATTATATCTGTTTCCAAATATGTTAAGTATAATAATAATTATTGTCGATGTATAATTTTCTTTACATTTATTATTATTTTTATTATTATTATTATTAATTTATTATTTATTTCTTTTTTTTTCTTTTTTAACTGACACTCATATTTTCATATCATGACCTTCAATTAGCCATCTCCCGTTACTGGTGAAAAAAAGCCTGATGTTCCACTGCATAACTGTCTTAAATATTTAGGTTAGCAACTATGTTCAACCATGACCTACCTCAAGCTTGCCGTATAAATTCTTAATATGAAATAAACAAATTATTGTATTTACCTGTTTGATGGTAGTTGTTGCTGTTGTTGTGGGTTTCTGTTTTGGGCTGGGGCTGCTCCTTTACCAATACCTAACATGTCCTACATTATAAAAAACATTATGTAAAAGCTGTAATCAAAATTATGTACAATCAAACTTCATTCGCTCAAACTCAGAGGGCCTGTGCAAATTTGTTTGAGAGATCGGTAGTTCGAGCCAACCAAGACTGAACTATTATTACATAGGCCTAAAGGTTTTCCAGCTTAAATAGGTCAAATGATAAATACGTCAATATAATTGTTTGTTAGTAAATCCGTTTGTCGAATATGTCATAATAAGAATTATTATCCTATTGAAAACAGTATTAATGTAACACTGTGTTAATCTATATTTGCATATTGTAACTGGTTGAGTTCGATTGGGCTATCATTATCCAAACAGTGAACAATATTCAAAATATATTTATATGTTTATTATGGGATGAATTTTACTTTAAACAATGAATTAATAAAATATTTAAAACAAAACAACATTTTACAGCAACATCTATTTGTAGTTATTTACTAAAATAAACACATGTACAAGTATCATTCAATTAGATTACACTGTTACAATTCATGTTAATCAAGGTTGTAATTAAAGCTGTCCGGGTAAACGTCATTTATTTATTGACTTTTGCGCATTTCAGGAGTTATTTTCCTTTTATTGTTACTAAAGACGGCAAATAGATAATTGTATCCTAACAAACAAATTGGTTACAACACCTTTTATTTTGTATCAATTAACCTTAATTGCCTTTGTCACGACCACAAGGTGTTAAAAACATTTGTCACCGACTGTCAATTATTTAGAACATGTCGACCCACAACTTCTGTTGTCTATTTGTGTTCGACCGAAAAGGTGTGATTTACATTATATTTCTGCCGAAGGGACCAGAGATCAGGTTCGAGAGTTCGATGGAAGGGTGTTCGAGGGATATGAGGTAGAACAATATATATTATATAGAATTTTGCCTGGACTGGGCGATGAGTTCGAACCAAGGGAGGTATTCGACCGATCCGAGTTCAAGCAAACAAAGTTTGACTGTATCTTTAACCGTTTTTAAAGATATAATTGTGCATTTTAGAACCTGTTCAGAATTTTGTTCATCCCAGCATGATCACTAACTTTTAGAACAGTTTCTTTTAATAATTTTTGAATTTTTTTTTAGTTTGCTCAACATATTAAAAAGACATTTTAACAACATATCATACATGTGACAAATGAAATGGGCCAAATCTGGATTTTCAGCTGGATTTTGAGGCTCAAAACTGGATTTTTTTATCGACTCGAATTTCAATGCGTGTTTGGCACATTTGGTTCAAAGAATCTATATTACCCTCAATATCCTTAAATGATTATACTTTTTTATGATTTTTTTGTTGATCAATATTAATTTATTTCACCAAAAAAATAAATAAATAGATAAATAAATAAGTGTAGTCATACAGGCTATTTCTAAAACAGTGACACTTTCACATTTCATTATTTTCAGTTTGAAGAATTATATGTCTTTTCAGTCATTCAATAATTAAACACAAGCTATTTGAAAACGTGCAACAACTATTCATGAACATAAGACTATGACAGTTAAATAACAAGTCAAGTCAAAAATAATGTAAATAACGTAACATAAGTAGAAGACTCAAAATAAATGCAAGAATCATTCCGTTAATTAAATCCACCTTTTTGCCTCGATGATTGTGTAATTCCTAAACAAAACAAAAAATTACCCACTCACTAAAAATAGGTTAATTAGACATCTGAAACAGGTTTTGAATGATCCCCTTTAAATGATTCTGCTCACCTTTTATCTTTATCAGTGCGGCACTAATCAAAGAAAATCAAAGGTTGAGCCGAATTCATACATGTAAATTTACAGGGTAGTGTTGATGACGTAGCGTGTAATACCTAAAAAGAGGTCAATTGACTGACACACGACACGTGATAAGTTAAACACGTGAGAATAACTTTGGGTATTGGAACTGTTTATTACGTCACCTTGCTGTCAATTAGCGACTCAACCTTTAATCCGCTATAATTTAGGATATGGACAGATAACAATCAATGCCCGGAGGCACGGTTTACATTTTAGATACAGGTGCTGTGTTTGATTTTTTTTTATGTTGATTTTTTTTTTAAATATCGGGAATTCAAGCTGTTATATCGGGAATCGGGATCAGTGTTGAAATATCGGGATTTTTTTAAATCCCATCGGGATGTCACATGTATGACATATTTGTACAAGTAACATAAAATAATCAGCCAATGACTGGGGTTTTAACATCAGTATCTTAACATTAACATCTAAAAGGGTTACCTGTATTTGTTTTGCTGTTAGATCTTTAGTTCCTCTGAACACATAACTTTTTGAACATCCCTCACAGCCAAGTTCATGCAGTTGAACCATTTTACCATAGGTAATGAGCCCAATTAGAGCATTTGGGGGTAGCAAACTAAGAGACATCTGAAGTGACTCCTGTAAATATTTGGTTCATGAATAAAATCTCAAGTTTTTAAAAAAACCTTTGTAATATCAATTATAAACAAGACTATTTGCTTGTGCTATGGATTATTATGTAAAATACTTAAATAAAATGCAGTTAAAGTAAGAAATCATACAGTGAATTTCCACTATCAAAAACTGATTTTTCAAATAGATGATTGGGTTAACTCATACAGCCCTTGTGCATTTCAGACACATCCAGAATCAATGACCTAATAAAGTTAGGTATAAGGCTTCCAAACAAAGAAGAAGTTAATGTCTTCTTGAGTGATTCAAACAGCCAAGAGGGAAAAGTGATAAAATGTCTTTAAGGTGCATCAACAACTGTTCTGCCTTACCAGATGGAATATATACATGTATAATGAAGAAGAGAAATGAGTTTTGTTTGTCCTGTGGTATTCACTGAATTCTAATATTGATCTTAAATGATGTAGAATGCCCAACATCTTGATGCAGAAATAAAACGTCAACCATATTAAACATAAATTCACAGCATTTAAAACAGAAAATAATCTCAAGCTTGAATAAAGAATTTGGACTGAGTACTGACAATTATTAAGCACACTTACTCAATTAAACCAATTTCTCAATGCAAGTCTTTCAAGAGTTTTAATATGACCTGGTACATAGGTAAATTCTCCTGAAAAGTGTGTTGAGACACCCAGCTACAATAATTACTTCCACCAACATTTTAGGTAAGTACTTATTTACCCTCCAACTTAAAGGAATGACACAACTTTTTTAAATGATAAAAACCCTGTATACTTGAGTATCTGTAACCCTAATACAGATATAGTAAATTACTAAAATATGAGCTGTGTCATAACAAAACCAACGTAATGCATCTGCGACCAGCATGGTCGCTTATCAACCCTATTACAAGTAGAGAAACTGATAGCGAACAGCATGGATCCTGATCAGACTGCGCGGATGCGCAGGCTGGTCTGGATCCATGCTGGTCGCAAACGCACAATGTTGGTTTTGTCGTGACGCGGCTCATATAATCTCTGTAGAATATACCTTGACAGCCTGTAGATCATCATCTTCCATACAGGTATCTAATACAATCAGGTAGACTGGTGGTGCACATGTTGCTCTCTATAACAAATCATAATAATGTATAACTTATAAATAATGCGATTGTTCTGTGAATATAACACTTGGAACAAAAAAAATCAAATTACAAATTATAAATCAGAAGGAGTGCTCACAAAAATAAAACTATTCATTTCAAATATTAGGCTGTTTAAACTTTATATATGTTTAGCTCTGATGGCCGTTCAAAGCAACACATAAGTTGTTTGGTAATGATACATCTACTGTTTCAAACGATTGTTTTAGGTGCTAGCTGACAGTTATCCACCCTAGCAGCCCCTTAAATAAACATGCGTGGATTGGAAAGAGGACATAATACTATACATGTTTATTATTCTTAAGTTTGGTGAGAATTCATCTATTAGTTGACTTGATTCATGCAATGGAACAATTTAATGGTATTTCTTTCTTTAACACATCATACAATTTTGTAATACAATAATGCTAAAGTAAAATCCTGCATGAGTATATAAATTTACTCTGAAAATAACTATGTGAAAACGTTAGACGCTGTAAGAATAACTTACAGTGATAGTGTATTCTATAGTAGAGAACTGTGGTATGATCTCGGCCGGTTGATGTTGTTCTGTTATTGCTGCATACTGAGGAGGGAACTAAAACAAAAAACAGTATCTTTTATACGACACATGAACAACATTCATAGTAGATTTTTAAAGGCATTTTTTTTTAAGTTTGATATCATTTAAATAATGATTTTTAAGCATGTCAGATGCTTAGCACCAAAAACATGTGATGCATGTGCAACTCTCATTAAAAAATATGAAAATGAAAACATAGTTGTATTTTTACTTCCATACAAATTACTAAATCACTATAACTGTACTAATTGCCAAAATATAACTAAAGCAAAAGATGGTCTGGGTAATTTGCCAATGAGTAACTTTTTGGAAACTACAATAGAAAACCAAAAGTAAAAGCTTATAAGATATAAAAATAAAAGCATTCTGAGGAATAATTGGCCTTTAAGGACAAAAATAGTTCTATATGTTTTATCTATTACATCTCCATAAAATCAAGAGAAAATTTTGAACAGTGAAAAAATCTTCTGTACTTAAATTACATTGTTTTAGAGAAAAGAAGACTTCCTACAGTATAAAGAAATACCAAAAAATTAAATGGCAATATTTAGACTTACAGGATTCCTTTGGAAACAAAAGTTGCAGGACCATATTTTAGCTCTGTAATCAACTTGGCTGAAATATAAGGAAAAATAAATTAAAAGAAAACTTGCAAGTAAATTTGAAAACAAACTGCTTTCACAGACTACAAAGTTCAAAATGTTATGTAGTGATTGGATTCAATAAGTAGAAACCGTCAATTATTACATCATTTGAGACAAGAACTTGAAGAAGTGTATATAATAAATCTCTATTTGTTTTGCTCTGTAATAAAATATAACACTGAACTACACTTTTCTTTCAATATGAACAGTTTATATTTATGGCTTTAAAGTTTAACTTTTTTAAATATGTTTACCATACAAAAATGTAATTCGCTCACCAGTAAGGATTTAATATAGCTCTACAAGTTGGTCTTGTACACATGACTGGATCATATTGTATAGGGGGCAAGTCAGGCCTCTCTTTGATAGGGGTATATAATGATCCAAGAGGAACAACCATCCTTGTTGCCTCAAGACGGCTTGATGGCCATACATTCCAGCTAAACCTCACACCATCTCTATCCTCATTCTGTTGTATAAACTCCTGGTATGTTGCCATGGCTGAATTAGCTGAAATTATAAATGTTCCCTTAAAATTTAGTTTAAAATTTAGTTTGTTGTCGCTATTTAAAATATATTTACAACTTATAAACACATAAAAAATACACAAACAATTAAAACACTGTAAATAAAAATTTAGATTATATAATCATGATGCACCACTGTTCAAACAATGAAAACGGGTTAATTTTCGATTTAATTTGAGAATAAGACCCATACCCTTAAAGCAGCATGCGTCGAGATTCATGTTTATTTTCATGAAAAAATTCAAAATGAATTAAAATGTAAAATATTATCATGAATTGAACAAAGAATTTAGTTACAAATTAGAATTGACACTTAAAATCTACGAAAATTGGTGAACAATGGTCAAAATATGCAAAAATAGCCCTTATCGCAGATCATTAAAAGCATATAACTTGAATGGTGAATATTTTGACAATTCTTTAAATCGTAGTACATTTTTCTCAAAGTTGATTTATTGAAATATTTTGGTTCACTTGGAGGCAGGCAGTTTTCAATTTACCATTAAGATTCAGAATTTTGTGTTTTGCTCAAAAGAGTGATCAACCTTTTCTAGTTTTTTTTTCTTATAGAAATAGAACTTTTGGCTAGCAGTACGGGCCACTTCCAAAGGTATTTAAACATGTATATCTTGTAAACTGCTCTTACATAGTACAGCAATAACAAATGTTTCAACTGCGAACAGGGTTTTTTTCCAGGATTTTGGGAACATGACCAATCCCACAAGATCATTAGCGAGGTTATTGTTAAAAAATTGAGAACAATTGCTATACTTAAATTTTCAGTGTTAAACATGAATGCAAGAATCACTTGTATAAGAATGCCATCTTTCAAAATTTAATCACCATACAAGAGATCCTTATTTTTTTGAAAAAGTTCATTGAATTATGTTATCAATATTTTTATCTGTTAACTTTCAATTTGGAATTTTTTTTCTGTGGATTGGGAAAAATTCTATTTTCAATTGGGATTAACAGAATATCGGCTATTTAAAATAAGCAGAAAATCCCTCGCTTGAACAAATGCCATTTATATTTTTCCTGGTTGCATTACAGTGATCACAATGGTCAGTACATGACTTTTATTACAAATAAAGAGATTAGTTTGGTCAGGGTGAAAATGTCTTTGGGTGAAAACCAGCCCATTATTTATCTTAAAAAATTTATAATTAATTTAGAATTAAAATAATCAAATAATTCCGACTTACCTATTACCCCTCACATTGTTAAATAAATCTATTTTCATTTTATTTATTTGAAATGTTCAATCAGCAAAATATTCAATATTTTTAATTTTATCAGTTTGACAGTTTGGGAAATCCCTCAATTTCAATAAGATAAATGTATCTTTGTCAAAATTATGTCTGGTTTTGAAGGAATCAAGTTCAACGGTTAATATACACATATACCAAACACATTGCTTACCTCAAATTCTAAGTGATATTTTTGATCAGGTGTAATCAACTACGATAATTTTGATAATTTGGGCTGAAACACGTAGCCTTCTTGATGCCACGTAACCTTCCCACAATTCTGTTTATGACGTCATTATTAACCAAACTAGACTGTGTTGTATTTTTTTAGAATGATCGATGATGACTAAAAATTGTAACTGTAAATCAGTCTAGAAGGATTCCCCACCCGGGGGAAATGAATTCTTTAACGAATAATTGCATTATTGCTGTTCATGGAGGTAATTAAAGTGTTGTCACAAAATAATTAGTATTCGAGTTCCTCCATATTTTCTCAAATTTGACTGTTAAATCATTGAACTTGCAGATATTGCATGTTAATATTATCTTTTATTCCGCCCTCAAATATTTTCGTACCAGTCTGTCTATGTTAAACACTGTTAAATATGTTTTTTTTTTAAAACAATAAATATAAAATAATGATTTCACCGAAATTTAGTATGAAATTTTAAGGGTAAAATAGTCTTGGATTAGTTTTGATGAAAAACGAGTCAGTAAAATACAAATCAGTTAATTGCAACCTGCGATGTCTGACACTTAACACACAAAATACATGTATTTTGTTTTCTTTAAGCATAAGGAACAAACAATACACTGTGACACCTAAGAAAATGTTAGTGACCCAGATTTTAAATACCAGTACAAATATTTTTCAGGTTTGTAAAAAAAATGAGTGATAATTTGTTTTTTTTATGTAGATTCTAACTGAATCATCAAAATTTGAAAGTTGGAATATATTGTTTGTATCTCTGCATTAGAATCAAACAGTGTAAAGCTATAAAGCAGAAACATGAAGGTTATATCACAAATTCCATTAAGTTCATTATGTTCTTTGACAATCAGGTGCTGGGTACCATTCCACAGATAAAGAGAAGGAGTATAGATCTGTGTGTGCCAGCCTGAAAAAATTTTAAATTATTTATCTTTTTCTTAAATTTAAAATTTTGTTCACTTAAAAATTAATATGTATTAAAATTTTCAAATTATATTCATGGTTTTACCAATCTGGTTTTAAAAAAGAATGAAAATCTGTATTCAAAAAATAATAGATTTAATTTTAAAAAACAATTTATAAATGATCTAGTATCCAGATAAATGTACTTTTCCTCAAAAATTTTGCACTAATCGGAGGTTGCAGGGTTTAAATTACAAAAAGGGGAAATTCTATTACATCCCTCAATTTTTATTTTGGGTTTTTATGGTGACCCTTGTAATTCTGTAGCCTTAACAGGTTAAGTGTTTAAATTAAAGTTATGATTTATAAAAAACTAAAAGGTTTAAATTTTTTTTAATTTTTAACCATCTATGTGTTCACCATTTCTTTCTTGTTAACTCAATTAACTGAAGAACAGTTTGCCCAGGGGTCTTCCACCTCCAATAAAGCTTGAAGGTGGCCTTAATATTATGACCTTACCAACTGGTGTCAAAATAGCTAAAAACTTAAGATAACAAAAATATGCATTTGTAAAATCACTTCTTTATATATATACATGTAAGTTCTTTTTGATGTCCAATTATTTCCTATAATATGCAATAATGCAAGATTTGAGGAACTTATAGTGCATTACAACATTCAGAGTTTATTGTATAGTTTAATACTTCAAGAGGAATCAATATACAATTGAATGAAAATATATTTCTGTTTTTTAAGGCAATGGCAAGCTTAAAAAAAGGGTCATCAGCATTGGATGCAGTTGTTATAGCTGTGAGGTACTTAGAGGTAGGAGGGTTTTCAAAGTCAGTAGATATTGAGGACTTCTGTAATTATACGACTTGAATATCCACCTCATTATATTGTCTTACTAATTTTTTAGTGTGTGATTAAAATATAAAGACATTGAAATATTTCAGTGTATATATTTTAAATCTGATGTGTCATTTAACAGAAGTTATGCCACCAATATAAAGCAAGGCAAGTCGGCTAGGCCAGCCTGCATGTCTATATGATTCAGATCAGGCTCTATAATGATTTATGTGGATTTTTTTGGTATTTTGATATTAAAATCTTATGTATAAATTAATATAAATAAAAAATGTCCATTTCCAAAAGCACAATTCACCAGGGTAAGTAGAAAATTGTAATTATAATATAGCATTTCAGTTCTAATTTCAGGATGCTGCATGTACAAACGCAGGTATAGGATCTAGTCTAAGTCTGGATGGTACAGTTGAGTGTGATGCCAGTGTTATGGATGGTCAATGCCTTAGTTATGGTGCAGTAGGAGCTATATCTGGTAAAATGATTTATCATAAATATTTTCACATAAAATAATCATCTCTTTTGATAAGTGGCATGTTCTGTTGTGTTTTCTTTTCTTACCACTGTATGTCAATTAAAGATCATGTTTTTTGGCATTTACATGTATATATTATGGACATAGCAATCCAAGTTGGAATTTATCTATTGTTCTCCATAGCATTTTAACACTGGCATTTATAACTACACACATCCAAAGAAAGTAAACAAATATACAAATGTATATAGATGTATTAATGTATTAATGGTGGAATTTGATATATATTTTCATGACAATCAGATATAAAGAACCCTATAATGGTGGCCAGAAAGTTGGTAGAGGAGCAGAGATGTGGAAATTATGTTTGCGTGGGTCCCTCCTTGTAATTCCCACAGTTATACTTTTTATCTGAAAAATTTTCATTTTAAACTCCTCCCAAAAGGTTTTTTTATTTTTTTTTTAATTTATTAATTATTTCCTTGCGTAGCAAATTAATTTTATTTCTTCTGAGATCAAATCACAGGCATATGTACTGATGAGTGCATGAATAATTAAAAGAAAAACAACTCAAGTGATAGTATGTACATGACACAAAGGTTTGTGTGTAACAGTAAAAATATTATAATGAGAAAAATACTGTTATACAAGGCATTAGCCAAGAGTAAAATGATTTTAAGTATTGTTGATGACATTTATATCACTGGTCTAGAACCATGTTAAGCATCACATTTGTTTAGTCTGACTAAATTCCAAGTAGAGTAAGTCCAATATACATGCACAAGTTTAGCAGTCATAGAGTTCCTTCCCTTTAATTATGTTGTTTATATTTTCACTTTGTTTAGACAATGTATCAATATAAATTGATTCCCATTTTATCTCCAAGGACATAATTTAGCAATGAATGTTAAGATGATTTTTGTTTTCAAAATTGGTGGATGCTTGTAATTTCAAGTATTCACTTGATTTATTAAGAATTCCATATCTGAACCACTGTCTTGATATAGATAATGTGTTTATATGTGTTTAATTCTTTTAATTTCTTCTAGTACAATGGTTGGATCAGGGGCTACAAAATGGGCATTTGAACATGGAATACCTCAAGTGTCACCAGACACACTGAAAACAGGTGGGATGCTTTCTTAACATAAAAAAGCTCTGTATTGTCTATGATTTCTTTTAATATATCCTCTTTATTTGTATGGTACCATATGAAGCTATGTAAAGAATTGTTTAATCATATTTACAAGGGCTTAAAATTGCAAAACTGTTCAAGTGGCAGGTGCGACTAAACTCACCTGAAACTTATTATGTTAATAAGATTATAAGTTTTGAAAGTAGGCAAAATCAATGGGAAAGAAAGAAAGTTTCTTCATTTTTCAATTGTTATATAATGTTAGTGTAAAGACACATTCAAATGTTCTCTCGTGTTGGTTCATGAAAAGAATGGTATACAGAAGTGTATGGAATAATTTGTTTGAATCAGAGAGCATCACTGGTACATGTTTAAATGTTAGTTTATTCTTACTTAAACAGTACTGTACATTTTTTGTTTCTGAGACACAATAGTTTTAGTGATTTGATTGGTTTAGATACTGAAAAGCAGTATGCATATTTTTTTTATTCATTATTAAAAAGACACTTTAATGGAATAATGCTTCATATCTCAGATTTTGAGTTAAGATATCAAAACATGTTTTTTTAAAACTGTAACTCAAGTTTGTTTGTTTTTAGCTCACCTGAGCATATGCTCAGGGTGAGCTATTAGGATCACTCTTCGTCCGTCGTACGTCGTCCATCGTACGTTGTCCGTTCACACTTTTCAAACGACATCTCCTCTGAAACCATAAGGCAGATCATAATGAAACTTCACAGGGATGTTCCTTGTGTGAAGCCTTAACAAAGTTGTTCAAAGAATTCCATTCCATGCAGAACTCTGGTTGCCATGGCAACCAAAAAAGAAAAAACTTTAAACATCTTCTTCTAGAAAACCCAAAGAGCTAGAGCTTAGATATTTGGCATGAAACATCTTCTAGTGAGTGTCTACCAAGATTGTTCAAATAAAATCCCTGGGTCAAAATTGGCCCCGCCCCAGGGGGTCATTGATTTTCCCTATATGCATATAGTAAAAACTTAAAAATCTTCTTTTTAAAGTACCCAAAGAGCTAGAGCTAAGATATTAAGCATGAAACATCTTCTAATGAGTGTCTACCAAGATTGTTCAAATAAAAGCCCTGGGGTCAAAATTGGCCCCGCCCAGGGGGTCATTGATTTTCCCTATATGCATATAGTAAAACTTAAAAAATCTTTTCTAAAAAACACAATGAGCTAGAGCTTAGATATTTGGCATGAAACATGTTCTAATGGATGTCTACCAAGTTTGTTCAAATAAAAGCCCTGGGGTCAAAATTTGCCCCGCCCCTGGGGGGTCATTGATGTTCCCTATATGCATATAGTAAAAACTTAAAAAAAAATTCTTTTAAAGAACCCAAAGAGCAAGAGCTAAGATATTTGGCATGAAACATCTTCTAATAAGTGTCTACCAAGATTGTTCAAATAAAAGCCCTGGGGTCAAAATTGGCCCGCCCCAGGGGGTCATTGATTTTCCCTATTTGCATATAGTAAAAAATCTTCTTCTAAAAAACCCAAAGAGCTAGAGCTTAGATTTTTGGCATGAAACATGTTCTCATGGATGTCAACCAAGTTTGTTCAAATAAAAGCCCTGGGGTCAAAATTGGCCCCGCCCCAGGGGGTCATTGATTTTCCCTATATGCATATAGTAAAAAACTTAAAAAAAATTTCTTTTAAAAAACCCAAAGAGCTAGAGCTAAGATATTTAGCATGAAACATCTTTCTAATGGGTGTCTACCAAGTTTGTTCAAATAAAAGCCTGGGGTCAAAATTGGCCCGCCCCCAGGGGGTCATTGATTTTCCCTATATGCATATAGTAAAAAACTTAAAAAAATCTTCTTTTAAAGTACCCAAAGAGCTTAGAGCTAAAATATTAAGCATGAAACATCTTCTAATGAGTGTCTACCAAGATTGTTCAAATAAAAGCCCCTGGGGTCAAAATTGGCCCCGCCCCAGGGGGTCATTTGATTTTCCCTATATGGCATATAGTAAAACTTAAAAAATCTTCTTCTAAAAAAACCCAAAGAGCTAGAGCTTAGATATTTGGCATGAAACATGTTCTAATGGATGTCTACCAAGTTTGTTCAAATAAAAGCCCTGGGGTCAAAATTTGCCCCGCCCCTGGGGGGTCATTGATGTTCCCTATATGCATATAGTAAAAACTTTAAAAAAAATTCTTTTAAAGAACCCAAAAAGTTAGAGCTAAGATATTTAGCATGAAACATCTTCTAATGGGTGTCTACTAAGTTTGTTCAAATAAAAGCCCTGGGGTCAAAATTAGCCCCGCCCAGGGGGTCATTGATTTTCCCTATATGCATATAGTAAAAACTTAAAAAAAATTCTTTTAAAGAACCCAAAGAGGCAAGAGCTAAGATATTTGGCATGAAACATCTTCTAATAAGTGTCTACCAAGATTGTTCAAATAAAAGCCCTGGGGTCAAAATTGGCCCGCCCCAGGGGGGGGTCATTGATTTTCCCCCTATTTGCATATAGTAAAAAAAAACTTAAAAAAATCTTCTTCTAAAAACCCAAGAGCTAGAGCTTAGATTTTTGGCATGAAACATGTTCTCATGGATGTCAACCAAGTTTGTTCAAATAAAAGCCCTGGGGTCAAAATTTGGCCCCGCCCCAGGGGGTCATTGATTTTCCCTATATGCATATAGTAAAAAACTTAAAAAAAATTTCTTTTAAAAAAACCCAAAGAGCTAGAGCTAAGATATTTAGCATGAAACATCTTCTAATGGGTGTCTACCAAGTTTTGTTTCAAATAAAAGCCCTGGGGTCAAAAAATTGGGCCGCCCCAGGGGGTCATTGATTTTCCCTATATGCCAATATAGTTAAAAACTTAAAAAAATTTCTTTTAAAAGAACCCAAAGAGCTAGAGCTAAGATATTAAGGCATGAAACATCTTCTAATGAGTGTCTACCAAGTTTGTTCAAAATAAAAGCCCTGGGGGGTCAAAATAAGCCCCGCCCCAGGGGGTTCATTGATTTTCCCTATATGCATATAGTAAAAACTTAAAAAAAATCTTTTTTTAAAGAACCCAAAGAGCTAGAGCTAAAGATATTAAGCATGAAACATCTTCTAATGAGTGTCTACCAAGATTGTTCAAATAAAAAGCCCTGGGGTCAAAATTGTCCCGCCCCAGGGTGTCATTGTATTTAAACTATATGTGTATAGTAAAAACTTAAAAAAATGTTCTTTTAAAAACCCAATGAGCTAGAGCTTAGATGTTCAGCATGAAACATCTTATGGGTGTCTACCAAGTTTGTTCAATAAAAGCCTTTGGATTAAAAAATTGGCCCTTGCCAGGGGGTGGGGGTGGGAAGGTCATTGTTTTTCATTATATGTGTGTAGTAAAAACTTAACATCATGAAACATCTTCTAATGGGTGTCTTCCAAGTTTGTTCAAATAAAAGCCCTGGGGTTTAAACTGGCCCCGCTCGAGGGGCCTATATACAGGTGAGCGACCTCAGGGCCATCATGGCCCTCTTGTTTTAAGTCACTTACATAATTATAGCATATATATAGTGAATTTCTTGAGATCATTCTAGGGAGAAGGAGTATCAATCCTGATGTTAGATTTAGAATAACATGTTGATTTTTTTTCTGTAATGTAGAATCTTCGATAAAAACTTATAACAGTCATAAAAGACGGCTACGTGCAATTGAAGAGAAGAAAAAAATCAAAAGAAGAAAACATTTACAGAAACATGGTCAAGTATGTGAAAAAAGATGTAAATTTTTAGTTTATGTTTGTAGAATAATGTGTGAATCGTGTTCAGATTTTACAGTAATATAATTAAAGCCATAAAACATATGAAGTAAAAAAAACTAACATGCATAATTGTAGTACAACACAAGAAAAATTGATATCTATTTCCATTCTAACATGCTTATTGAAAAAAAAAATCAATAAAATTATGTTAATCTACATTGTCATTTGACAATAGATAAAAACAGATATTGCAGATATAGTAAGATTGAAACAAGTCTAAGTCGCTCATTTGACAGGTTCTTTTACATTTCCATAGTTTACTATCTTGAAATCTAAATGCTTTACGTGGGTCAAGTTAGGAAACCAACTTTTTCTTCTTTTTATGAAGAAAAGTTTTGTTCCCTAGACTGCTTATTGTTTTCATTTTGATGACATTTATAGAATATTGGATGAAAATTCAAATTGCAGATATGAAAATTTTGCCTGTGTCTCCCTTTCAAATGCTCTAAAACAGCTAACTGCTGAAAATCTATACACATGTTGTTATGCCAATGTCAAATGTATCGTAAATTTTTATATTATATTATTTTGAAATTGCTTTGTTAGGGAAATGTAAAGGATGATGAAACTGCCCAAGTGATATGTAATGGTAAACAAAGTAGTGAAGATCATGATTGTAATGGTATACAGGATACTGTAGGGGCAGTTTGTATAGATATGTTAGGAAACATGGCAGCTGGGGTCTCAAGTGGAGGAATTTCCTTGAAACAGAGTGGCAGGCTGGGACCTGTAAGTACTTGTAATTGGCCGTAGTATTTGTATTTTTAGAAGAAAAATAGCGTTGGCGTTGGTTTTGGTTAACCTTTTTGTTAAGGTCCATTTTCTCAGAAACTTTTAAAGTAATTCAATCAAACTTGGTATACATATTTGTTGTCATGAAAGGACACCATTTTAAAAGGGCAGATAATCTTAAAATTATTTTTGCAAGTTATGCCCCTTTTTTGACTTAATCTTACTTCTTCTAAGGTCAATTTCTCCAAAATTGTTGAAGTTAATCACTTCAAACTTTTTTCAGTTTTTAAATTGAAAAGCATTTCTTAAGGTCGGGTAACTTTTTAAATTTATTTTTACTAAGTTCTGCCCCCTTTTAACTTTAAATTTCTTGGTTAACATTTTTGCGAAGGTCGATATCAGAGGAAATGATAGCAGTGTTTCTTTGCATGGCATTCAATGATTAAACAACATTCAAATCGTCTTTCTAACATTGTATATTTAGGGTAAAGATCTGTATGTGCTATATTCCTCTGAAAAGTTAAAGATTTAAGGTAACAATGGAAAAAAATTGTATTGAAATCAGATAAATGATAACATATAGATGAGGACAACAACAAAAAATTTTGCTTTTTAATGAGGCAAAGAACAATAAAGTTTTTGTCTCATATATAAAAGTTATAAAAGTAAGTATGTTAATAAAGATGGAATGAATCGAAAATTACATCTAAAATCTTTATTGTAGGCTGCTATGTATGGAGCCGGTTGCTGGGCAGTAAATTGGAAGTCTGAGATTAAACCTGGCATTGCCATAGCTACCTCAGGTATGTGAAAGTTATTAACATGTTATATACCATATACATATTATATTATCACAGGTATGATAAATTATTTACATGTTATATACATATTAAATTATCTCAGGTATAATAAATAAGTTAATTGCCTTAACCACAACACTTTAAAAGATGCTTTGTGTAGATAGAAATTTCTTCTGTATGAAACTATTAAGAATTGAATTATGACTGTTTCATGAATCAGAATTATACCTTGAGTAGGTTTTAGCTTGTGTCTGTTATAAAAAGTATTCCCTAAGCTGATTTTGGGTTGTGTTAATAGCTATCTCAGAGTTGTTGCCAATTCATCATTAACATTAAATCAAAAGTATATTTCCAGGTCTCCAATTTTTTTTATTGTATCAGAGTAGTTTTTAAGAAGAGCCTTTTTCTTATTAATAGAATACCAAACTGACCCGTTAAATGGAACTCCACTGAGGATCCAAAAGCAGTAAAAACATAAAAATTTGAAATTCTTGCATAAATTATCAAACCAGGGCACTTAAACAAGATTTAGATGTAAAAGAAAAAACAAGACAACTCACAAGGAAATCGAAGTAGGCAAATTGTATTATAATGCCTATTCTTAGCCAGATTGGGAATATTCGTTATACTGGAGCGCGAGCAGTTCCCGTACAGAAGCAGTACCCGCGTTATTTTTCATTTTAAACGCCTTGATTTTACATGCATTCTTCAAAAATTCATTTCAAATCAAGCAGAGACATAAAACGGACAAAATCTAAGAGTGTCAGTTCGGCAAAAGTAAACATATAAAAAGTCTCAATTTTAAAAAATCACTTTTCACCACTGTGCGGTTGTCAAAACGGTGCCTTGTTTTTATCTGGGGGATTCCGTTCCTTGCGCCCATGCGCAAAACATATTACACGGAGGCATTTAAAAGGGTTTTCCACTTATGCCCTGTTTTACAGATAAAGAAGGCAATGTGATGAAAACTTGTTTAAATTATCAGAATTTTTGACCAATATTAAACTAATATAAAATAATTTTATGGCTTTGATGCGTAAAAAATATCAATGCATACAAGCATAGCCATCGGCATGTATAGGCGTTGGGGGGTAACGGTACCGGGGGTAATAGATACACGCGGTTTAAGTCTACTTTCTAATTTCCTCTGAATAACATCTATTTATTCTCTTAGAAAATGGTCTGTTTGCAACAATAATAAAAATGAAAAAAAGGTTTCCGATATTAATTAAAATTGATTATAAAAATTATTAAATGAGTTTAAATTTTTATGACGGGAACTACTTCTCTTCATACAAAATAATGGAAATTTCCCGGGTACCCCCATATGAGGCCTCATAACTAAGGGTTTTATTCTATGTTTAGAACATGATGGAATTTCCATGATTTGTGTGACGAGCCCAATATTGATAGTGTAACGTTCAAATTTTGGTGAGTGAGCGTAATAAAAAATAATGTTTAAGTAACTACGATATTTGTACGGGAACTGCTCGCATGCCAGTATATAGTAAAGTCTTTTCAATTTTTGGCCATTTTTTACAATTAAAGTAATTATTGTGAAAAAACGCACGAAACAATCTGAAACTTTGCACACAAGTTGTTAGTCTAGGCCTACATCATATGGAACATTAATCTCTGAGAGTTATTTACAGTTCCATCTTTTCAACCACAGTGGAGTCCCTTTAAGAAATTGAAACCAATTTTTGTATTTTGTATAGAGGTGATTTAGAAGTATAAGTGATGTATCATTATTGACTGTTTATGTCAAGAAATGCAATTTTGTGGCATATTGATGATTTATTCTGGCATGATATATTATTTAGGTACAGGTGAACATCTAATGAAAACATTACTTGCACGTGAATGTTGCCAAAGTTTACAACAAGATGATTTCACTGAAAATGCATTTAAAAAGGTATTCCAGGACAAGTTTTTAGGTGAGATATTTCTATATGCTTGGCTACTTAATGTTACAAAAAGAGAAAAACCACAATACATATCATAATCTAAAAATAAATTCCTACAGATTATCAATATTTGTTTTTTATTTTATTTAATGTGTGCTGCTGATATAAAAACACAAACATAATAATAGTATATGTTGAATGTTTAAGTTAGGTTTAATACATCTTACCAGAATATTAATTTCTTTTCAGATTCAGAATTTTTACATGATACTAAAGAAAAGTTTGGTGGAATTTTAGCTCTGAAGTGTGACAAATCTGACAGTAGTGCTGGTAACTATGGTAAAACATCTTGGTCACTTAATATAATTGCTAATGCTTGAATAATTGTAAAATTAAAATTTTTTGCACTAAAACTCTTTTTAAACTTTTTAGCTCAATTGAGCTAGCTCAGGGTGAGCTTTTAGGATCATTGAATGTCCGTAATATGTTATCTGTCGTCTGGCGCCCATCCACATTTGTTTGTTAACACTCTAGTGGTCACATTCTTGCCTCAATCATCATCAAACTTTGTCAGGATGCTTGTCTAGGTAATTACTCGGAGGTTCAAACATGGGTCATATCGGATGAAAAACTAGGTCACAGGAGCTAAAAATAGAAAAATCTTGTTAACACTCTAGTGGCTACTGTTTTGATCCAAATATTCTGGACATTAGTTTGAAAGTTTGTTTTGATGATTTCTATGTCATGTTCGAATATGGGTCACCTGGGGTCAAAAACTAGGTCACACTGCCCAAATATGGGAAAACCTTGTTAACACTTTAGTGGTCACATTTTTGACTGAATTGTCATCAAACTTGGTCAGGATGCTTGTCTAGTTAATTGCTAGGATGAGATCAAACATGGGTCATTTCGGTCACAGGAGCTAATAATTTAAAAAAATTTGTTAACAATAGTGGCTACTGTTTTGGTCCAAATATCCTGGAAATTGGTCTGAAAATTTGTTTTGATGATTTCCAGGTCAAATTTGAATATGGGTCACCTCAGGTCAAAAACTAGGTTACACTGCCCAAATATGGGAAAACCTCGTTAACACATTTTTGACTCAATTGTCATCAAACTTGGTCAGATTGCTTGTCTAAGTAATTGCTCGGATGAATTTGTTGGGTCAGGTGAGCAATCTAAGGCCATCTTGTTGTCATAACCCCTACCACATGATGTTAAGGAAGTTATACAGGAATCACTTTGTCTTGTCCATCCGTCTGTCTCTATCTTATCCTATACTCATCAAGGATTTTCTTCAAACCTGGCTCAAATGTTTACATCAACAAGGCAATGTGCAGAACTCATACTGCTGCTGTGCCGACTTTAGGTCATCGTCAACATTTAAAGCTAAATGTTACACCATGTTGTGTTAGCTCTTTAAATCGTGTAAGTCTTGAAGGATTTTCTTCAAAAGTGATTCAAATGTTCACCTTTACAAGGTTATGTGCAGAATCCATGCTGCTGATTGGCCAGCTCAAGTCAGTCACCCTTGAAGGTCAAATTCAGACAATATTATGTCGGTACTATAATATTCTCTTCAAACTTTGATAAAATATTTAATTTCTGCTTTTCCTGTCCTAGTCTTTTTTTAGTGCAAGTAATGTAATAATATGTATTTTATTATATTAAACTTTTATTTCTTATATTGGGATGAATGATACTAACTGTAAATCTTTTCCTTCCTTATATAGTATAAGATTTTTTTTGCTATTTTTTATCGTTTTATTTAGAATATTTTGCTAGAAATTCAAGTGTAGATAATGAAGCATATGAAACTATGTACAGAAGTAATGAAGAAATTAATGTTTTTTATCTATAATTTCAGAGTTACTATGGGGACACACTACAGATAGTATGTGTGTAGGTTTTATGTCTAGTAATACAAAAGTCAAGGTACTGCTATTTTTTGTTTAAAACATAGTTTATACAAAATCTTTTAAACACACTTGAACACATTTGGTAATTAAAATTGCATTAGAATAAGTTTTAAGCTTATGCACTGACAGATTAATTAACTGTGTCATATTTATTAACATTGAAAGTCTGAAATTTAGACTTTGATAAAGGCAATGCAAAATATTCCTTGTATTTTATATAATTTTTCATTGTACAAAAAAATTGATCAGACATCTACCATATGGTTTACATACTGACACAATTTCTTTACAATCTGGCATACTTGAGTAAGACCGAGTCAACAGAATATACATATTTTTTACAGTCTTCAGATAAATTTTAGCAGTGCCTGAAAGGGCGGATGGACCCTCATTAAGCATTGATAAATTTTAGAACTTAACATTGATGATAATAGGCCAGGGTCTGTTTGTTTCAGTCTTATATGGAAGAATTTGTGGTGTTCAACATAACGAAGCATAGTTTTGTTTAATTAATGAACTACATATACATGTATGTTCTATTGTTGTCATCTTTAGATAATCTTTTTTCCATTTTTCAGACTGTTATATCAAGATTAGAAGATGATAAAATTGCTGGCACAACTTTTGTCATGGAGGGAAGATCATTTAAATTATGAGACAAATGATTGTTAGATATTAAAAATAAAATGATTAGATATTAAAAATACAATTATTATTAAATATTGAGAATAAATTGTTACATATTAGAAATACAATGATTGTAGATATTAAGAATAAATTGTTAGATATTAAAATGACATGAGTGTTGATATTAAGAATAATTTGTTACATATTAAAAATACAATTATTGTAGATATTAAGAATAAATCAGTAGCTATTAAAAAGAAAATGATTGTTAGAAATTAAGATTGTTAGATAATAATAGTAACATGATGGTAAGATATTAAGAATAAAATGATTATGCTTAGCATAGTCTATTCAAGTCATTTTAATAGTTGTTCTTTGTTCAATGTTTCAAGACTTTTTTTATTGTTTAAACTTTTCTTGTCTTGTGATTTTATTTCATTACTTGAAAAAAACTTGTTTGTTGTTAATTTTGCACAAATAATCGATAATTATTCCCCACCAAACATAGTTTGTGTGGAGTGGGGCTATATAGGAATTTGTTTGTCCCATTCTGTCCTGTCTCAGGATTTGGTAGAGATATTAACTTGAATCTTGGAACATCAAAGCAATATCACAATTGTCTGTATCAAGTTTCATAACTCTAATTGTTAGTTTGACATAATTATGCCCCTTTTTAACTTGGAAAATATCCCAAAAATTACCAAAGTGGCAATTGTTAATCAATGAATTGTCTCCTTGCTTTGACAAAACAATCCTTTGGAATGTTCCTTTAAGTTGACCAGAGTGACCTTGAGTAAAAATGACCTTGAACTTCAATGTCAAATTATTGAGTTTTGCTATCTTTGTTGTAACCAGCTTTGATTTTTATACGCCCATTTGAAAAAATTTTATACGCCCATTTGAAAAACTGGTCGTATTATAGATTCCCCCTGGTAGGCGGGTGGCATCAGATTTTTGTCCGGAGCACATCTCCTACACACATTGTGGAATTTTAATGAAACTTCATAAGAATGTTTACCTCTAAGAGAATGAGTGTCTTGCACATGAACCCGGTCTCTTGGTCAAAGGTCAAGGTCACAGAGGACATTGAAAAACGCTTGCCTGTAGCAAAACTTCTACATGCATAGAGGAATTTCAATATAACTTGTCACCAATGTTCACCATTGTGAGGTGGAGTATCGCGTGCAAAACTTAGGTCCCTGCGGCCAAGGTCAAGGTCACACAGGGGTCAAAGTTCATATGAAAATGTGTATTTGGACCATAAAGTCATTATTTATTTAGGGATTGAAACGCAAATGGTCATTATCATGACTACAGATGTGAAACATGTAATTTTGGTTGATATAAGAAAGGTCAAGGTCACTAAAGGTGTATAGAAATTTTGTCCAGAGCATATCTCCTACACATATAGAGGGATACTAATGAAACTTCATAGAAATGTACACCACTATGAGAGGCAGTGTCCTGCGCATAAGCCAGGTCTCTAGGTCAAACTTAGAGGTCATTGAAAAACGCTTGTCAAGAGCAAAACTTCTACATTCATAGTGGGATTTCAATATAACTTGGCACAAATGTTCACCATGGTGAGGTGGAGTGTCGCATGCAAAATTTAGGTCCCTGTGGCCAAGGTCAAGGTCACACAGGAATCAAAATTCTGATAAAAATATATAAATGTGTATTCAGGCCATTAAGTCATCATTTATTAAGGGATTGAAACACATTAATGGTCATTATCATGACTACCATTGTGAAGCTAAGTATTGCGCACATAATCCAGGTCCCTGCTCCCAAAGTCAAGGTCACATAGGTAAGTTTGTGTAAGGGGACCATTTAGTCATCAATTATTGACGGATTGTAACACAAGTGATAACTATCATGACTACAAGTGTGACATGTAATTTAGGTTAATATTTGCAAGGTCAAGGTCACTAGAGATGATAAAATATCCAGATATTGTCCGGATATTACCCAGAGCATATCGTCTATATGCATATCTATAATGCCCACATTCCTGACAAAAGCTTTTGTGACGGGCGTATTTTGCGACAATGTTGTCCTTGTTTATTTATGAATGGATTGTCTTCTTATTTAGATACAACATCCTTTAGGACAAACCCTTTATGAAGTAAAAATTGACTTTGACCTTCACTTTTAAATGACATTGACCTTGAAGGTGTAATTATTGAATTTTCTTTGCTTTTAGCTCACCTGTCACAAAATGGCATGGTTCGCTTTTGTGATCGCTTTTCGTCCGACGGTAGTCCGTTCGTCCGTAAACTTTTACTTTAAACATCTCGTCAGAAACTGCTGAGCCAATTTCACCAAAACTTTACAGGAATGTTCCTTTGGTAGTCACCTTTAAAAATTGCTCAAATAATTTAATTCCATGCAGAACTCTAGTTGGCATGGTTATCAAAAGAAAAAACGTAAAATATCTTCTTTTAAAAAAAAACCCAAAGGGCTAGAGGTTAGACATTTAGCATGAATCAGCTTCTAGTGAGAGTCTACCTATTTTGTTCAAATAAACGCCATGGGGTCAAAATTGGCCCTGCCCTGGGGTGTCACTGATTTTCCTTATAAGTCTATAGTAAAAACAAAAAAAAGTCTTTTTTTTTTTTGAAAAAAAAAAACCCGAAGAGCTAGAGTTTAGATATTAAGCATGAAACATCTTCTTATATTGTGTCTACCAAGTTTGTTCTAAGAAAAGCCATGTGGTCAAAATTGGCCCTGCCAGGGGGGCATTGATTTTCCTTATATGTTTATAGTAAAAACAAAACAAAAATCTGTTTTTAAAAAGCCCAAAGGAGCTAGAGCTTATATATTTAGCACGACACATCTTCTATTGTGTGTCTACCAAATTTGCTTATATAAAAGCCATGGGGTCAAAATTGGCCCCACCAAGGGGGGGGGGGTCGTTTCTTTAAAAAAAAAGAGTTGACTAATAAAAAACGCTAAGACGCGCTGTAATTTAGCACAAGAAACATACTTAAAGACATCCTCAGAGTTATCACAAGAACTTCGTGACATTTGTAAAATCGGACATGAATTTATTAGTCTGGACTAAACGTTTGCAACTTTCCATTATAATTAGGTAAATAAGTATGGCAACGAAGAAGATTACAAGTGAGAAAGGCCAATATGTACGAAGGAGCAAGTAATTTGGAACTTTTACTCATAACTACTAGATTTTAAACAAGAGGCGATGAAAAATGGACTATAAAGTTCTTTCCTGACACATTATATGTATATGTACTAAAACTTCCCATTTAAAGTTAAATATTACAAATTTTACGTGTGTTTCTCCAGTATACAGTAAAGTTTTCCGACGAACTCCGTGACAGTTATCATAAGAACTGACAAGTTACCATAAGAACCCCATCCTTCGTGTAACAGTTCCTCACCCGTGTATATTAATTAAGGCAGTATGCAGGACAACAATATGCCCTGCAACAGTCTTTCACCTACCTTGACCTTTAGAGGGTCAAAACTTTATTGTTGTAATTTGCACATCATAAGGATGTTGTGGCATGATGTCAAAGTTAGTTCAAATCTTCCCAAAAGTGGAAAAGTTATGGACCAGAAATATACAAAAAGTATATAAATTATGACACAAGTCAAAATTTTCCCGGCCCCAGGAGTTACTTACATGTGTAGTTTATATAGATTTATCAGGGGAAACACATTTAAATTTTCTTGTAAAAAAAAACTACACCGCACAGCTTAGATATTTGGCATGTACACTGTCATATGCTTCCCTGATTGAATAATACTAATCAAGCCAATGGGGTCAAAATTGACCCGGCTTTTGTTTGTTTGACCAACACAGTATAGGTCACATGGCGTTGCCTCAATCAATACTCACTTGTAAAAACTTAAAGAGGAAAACAGGATAAAATAGTGAATAAGGAAGTTGTGGCCTGGCATTGAGATATTTTAACAAGCAGCATTACCCAGTGGATCTTGTGATGAAAAATTTGCTATGCCATATAGGTCCACTAAGTTGATATCTGTAGTATGACATCAACTTATATAGCTGACAGATGAAATCCTTAGTGTTGTGAAGTTGATAATATGAAAGAAATATGACAAGAAGTAAGGTTGCTTTAAATATGTAAATTTAGTACCACAAATTTATTCCGACATGTTTTGGGCTAACTGAAGTAATTTCCCCTGAACTTGTGTTATGCAGAGATTGGAAAAAGTAATAATTCTATCAAGTACACTAAAAAAAACGCGACACGATTTTAAGTTGGACATGTATTTGCTGATGAAAGGACCAATATTAACACTCGATTTATTTGTTTACTAAATGGTGCAAGTAAAATTGTGATATAGGAATAAACGAGGTGAAGTAATGTATAGAGGCAATGAAAATACTGAAGTAAGGTAAGGAGGTTATGAAAATTCTGAAGTATGGTAGGGAGGTAATGAAAATATTCAAGTCAAAAAGGGAGGTAATGAAAATAATTCAGTAAAGTAGGAAGGTAATAAAAATACTGAAATAACGTAGGGAGGTAATGAAAATACATGTACTGAAGAAAGTAAGGAATGCAGGTAATGAAAATTCTGAAGTAAGGAAGGCAATTTATGTAAATACTGAAATAAGGAAGGGAAGTCATGAAAATACTGAAGTAAGGAAGGTAGGTAATGTAAATACTGAAATAAGGTAGGGAGATAATGTAAATACTGATGTAAGGTAGGAAGGTAATGAAAATACTGAAGTATGGTAGGTAGGTCATGTAAATACTGAAGTTATGTAGGGATGTAAATAAAATACTGAAGTAAGGTAGGGAGGTAATGAAGATACTGAAGTCAGTTAGGGAGGTTATGAAAATACAGAAGTTAGGAAGGCAGGTAATGAAAATACTAAATAATGTAGGAAGGTAATGAAAATACGGAAGTCAGTTAGGGAGTTAATAAAAATACTGAAGTAAGGAAGGTAGGTCAAAAACATACTGAAATAAGGTAGGAAGGAAATGAAAATACTGAAATAAGGTAGAGAGGTAATGAAAATACTGATGTAAGGTAGGGAGGTTATGAAAAAACTGAAGCATGGTAGAGAGGTCATGAAAATACTAAAGTTTGGTAGGGAGTTATTGTAAGTAGGGAGGTAATGAATGTACTTAAGTAACGTAGGGAGGTTGTGAAAATTCTAAAGTAAGACAGGGAGGTAATGAAAATACTGATGTATGGTAGGGAGGTAATGAAAATAATGAAGTTATGTAGGGCGGTAATAAAAATACTAAAGTTAGGGAGGGAGGTTATGAAAATACTGAAGTATGGTAGGGAGGTAATGAAAATACAAAGTAAGGTAGAGAAGTAATGAAAATACTGATTTTAGTTAGGGATGGTAATGAAAATACTGAAATATGGTAGGGAGGTAATGAAAATATCAAAGTTATGTTGAGAGGTAATGAAAATACTGAAGTATTGTAGGGAGGTAATGAAAATACTGGAGTCAAATAGGAAAATGGAAATACTTCAGTAAAGTAGAAAGGTAAAGAAATACTGAAATAAGGTAGGGAGCAAATGAAAATACTGAAATTTTGTAAGGAGGTGATGAAAATACTTCAGTAAAGTAGGAAGGTAATGAAAATACAGAAGTCAAATAAGGAGGAAATGAAAATACTTCAGTAAAGTAGGGAAGTAATGAAAATACTGAAGTCAAATAGGTAGGTAATGAAAATACTTCAGTAAAGTAGGAAGGTAATGAAATACTGAAATAAGGTAGAGAGGTAATAAAAATACTAAAGTTAGGTAGGTAGGTAATGAAAATACTGAAATATTGTAAGGAGGTGATGAAAAATACTGAAGTTATGTGGGGAGGTAATGAAAATACTAAAGTCAAATAGGCAGGAAATGAAAATACTTCAGTAAAGTAGGGAAGTAATGAAAATACTGAAGTAAGGAGGGAAACTAATGAAAAATGTGATTTAATGTAAGGAGGAAATGAAAATACTGAAGTAAGGAAGACAGGTAATGAAAATACTGAAGTAAGGTAGAGACGTTATGAAATTGCTTAAGTCAGGTAGGGAGGTAATGAAAATACTGAAGTAAGGTAGGCAAGTAATGAAAAAACTGACGTAAGGTAGGGAGGTAATGAAAATACTGAAATAAGGAAGGCAGGTAATGAAAGTACTGAAGTAAGGAAGGCAAATAATGAAAATACTGATTTAAAGTAAGGAGGTATTGAAAATACTGAAAAAAGGAAGGCAGGTAATGAATATACTGAAGTAAGGTAGGGAGGTAATGAAAATACTGAAGTAAGGATGGAAGGTAATGAGCATACTAGTTATGTAGGGAGGTAATGAAAATACTGAAGTAAGGAAGGGAGGTAATTAACATACTGAAGTCAAATAGTGAGGTTATGAAAATACTGAAGAATTTGAGGAGATAATTAAAACACTGAAGTTGTGTAGTGAGGTAATGAAAATACTGAAGTAAGGAAGAAAGGTAATGAAAATACTAAAGTATGTTAGATAATAATGAAAACACCGAAGTTGTGTAGTGAGGTAGTAAAGAAGGAAGGAAGGTAATGAAAATACTCAAGTTATGTAGGAAGGTTATAAAAATACTAAAGTTAGATAGGGTGGTAATAAAAATACTGAAGTAAGGTAATTAAATACTGAAGTTATGTAGGGAGGTAATGAAAATACAGATGTTATGTAAAGAGGTAATAAAAATACTGAAGTAAGGTAGGTGGTTATGATAATACTGAAGTTTGGTAGGAAGTTAATGAATTTACTTTAGTAAGGTAGGGAGGTAATGGAAGTATTGTGGAGGGGGGGGGGGTAATGAAATTACTGAAGTATGGTAGGGAATTACTAAAGTATGTTAGGAGATAATGAAAATACTGAAGTTATGTAGTAAGGCATTGAAAATACTGAAGTTAAATAGGGAGGTTATGTACATACTGAAGTAAGGAAGGAAGGTAATGAAAATACTGAATCAAATAGTGAGGTAATGAAAATACTTCAGTAAAGAAGGAAGGAAGGTAATGAAAATACTGAATTAAGGTTGAAAGGTACTGAACATACTGAAGTTATGTAGGAAGGTAATAAAAATACTAAAGTAAGATAGGGAGGTAATGAAAATATTGACATAAGGTTGGGAGGTAATGAAAAAACTTCAATAAGGTAGGTAGAAATATGTAACGAAAATACTTTAGTTTGTTAGGATATAATGAAATTACTGAAGTTATGTAGTAAGGCATTGAAAATACTGAAGTTATGTAAGGAGGTTATGTACATACTGAAGTAAGGAAGGAAGGTAATGAAAATACTGAAGTCAAATAGTGAGGTAATGAAAATACTTCAATATGGAAGGAAGGAAGGAAGGTAATGAAAATACTGAAGTTAAATAGAAAGTTTATGAAAATACTGAAGTAAGGTAGAGAGGTACTGAAAATACTGCAGTTATGTAGGGAAGTAATGTAAATACTGGAGTTATGTAGTAAGGTAATAAAAAATACTAAAGTAAGATAGGGAGGTAATGAAAATACTGAAGTAAGGTAATGAAAATACTGAAGTTATGTAGAGAGGTAATGTAAATACTGAAGTAAGGTAGGGGGTTATAAAAATACTGAAGTTTGGTAGGAAGTTAATGAAATAACTTAAGTAAGGTATGGAGGTAATGGAAATTCTGAAGTTTGATGGGGGAGGGTTATGAATATACTGAAGTATGGTAGGGAATTAATGAAAATACTGACGTAAGGTAGGGAGGTAATGAAAAAACTTCAATATGGTAGGAAAGAACATGAAAATGCTAAAGTATGTTATGAGATAATGAAAATACTGAAGATATGTAGGAAGGCATTGAAAATACTGATGTTATGTAGGGAGGTTATGTACATACTGAAGTAAGATAGGGGGTGATGAAAATACTGAAGTATGGTAGGGAGTTAATGAAAAATACTGAAATAAGGTAGGGAGGTAATGGAAATTCTGAAGTATTGTAGGGGGAGGGGTAATGAAAATACTGAAGTATGGTAGGGAGTAAATGAAAATACTGAAGTAAGGTAGGGAGTTAATGAAAATACTGAAATAGGGTAGGGAGGTAATGGAAATTCTGAAGTATTGTAGGGGGAGGGGTAATGAAAATACTGAAGTATGATAGGGAGTAAATGAAACTACTGAAGTAAGGTAGGGATTAATGGAAATTCTGAAGTATGGTAAGGAGGTAATGAAAATACTTCAATAAGATAGGAAGGTATTGAAAATACTTAAGTATGTTAGGACATAATGAAAATACTGAAGTTATGTTGGAATGAAATGAAAATACCGAAGTTATGAAGGGAGATAATGAATGAGGGTAGTAAGGTAATGAAAATACTAAAGTATGTTAGGAGATAATGAAAATACTGATGTCATGTTGTAAGGTAATAAAAATACTGAAGCATGGTAGAGAGGAAATGAAAATACCTAAGGTAGGGAGGTTATAAAAATGCTGAAGTAAAATATAAAGCAGGTCATTAACATCCACAATGCAATCAGTTTTTTTCTTTTGAGAAAATATATACGTATTTATTATTTCCGTATCATATTTAGTTTTGTTTATCATTATCTTCATTATTGTGCGAAAAATTTTAGTTTACGGACTATATTTAGTTATCCTTTTTCAGGTTAAATAGGTGAGGCAAACTTTTTTTACTAGCGTGCGCCTATTGAAAAAATTGCTGACCATTATGCTTAACACTTTTTTGTATCTAATTACCAGATAATTATCAATTCTTAAAAGTTTCTCAAAATTACGACGGTTTTAGGGAATATTTGATCAATATATATGCATACATGCCAGATGATGGGCCATTTGGATTTCACCTTTTAGCATAACTACATTTTTATAGTATTAACAGAATTCAATCACCCTGATCATTCTTGTTCCCTCAGTTATATAATCGCACTTCAACTAATCACATTATTATTGTCATTTCAATAGGAAAAAAGATAACAATATATAACCTAATTAAGATGTGTGTGAATATTTACATATGTTGTATATACATCTATACAGTGTATACAGCCTTGTAAAACACTTAACATAATTTAAAATGAAGTTATATACTTGCATTTTATTAATATATTTTTATGATGGCGTCATTTCGACATCTCCAGAGTTTGATGCCCTGCTAGCTCGGCTTGCAGTGACGGAAGCCCGCCAAGACATGTCGGAAAAGACGATTGAGAGTCTGAAAAGTAAATTGTCCGCAGCCGAACAGCAGATACAGGTAGATTCTATTTTATACATAAAATATGACAAAAGAGCTAAGTTTGCTAACGACAAAAATACGAGGGTAGATCCAGATTTTCGTAGACTCGCACTATATCTAGTTTACATCACATATAAATAAAAATAAAAAATACATTTTCATAAGATACGCTCTTTTATTTATCTTCACTGAAAAATTTACATAACACTATGCGGGTACGTTCAACTTGTGCAGATTACTAAACACCATCTTAACGACATTACCCCCGTACCGCGTTGTTTCAATTCTGACGTGATAAACGTCAACGTCATGATCATATGCGCTGTAATAAAGTTTCTTGCCTAAATTCTGACACAACTTTATGTTCGAGCACAGTTTTGATCGTTGAAGCCAACACAGCTAGTTCTTTCTGTTACTTAATGTCCAAATGATGCCATTTTTGCAGACTACATCTACGTCACAGTGATGTTTTTACGAGGAAAGCTTTTGATGAACTTTGTCTAGGTATAAAGGCGACGTATTTCACTGAGTCTCCAGCGCATATTTAGACAGGGCGATGACGCTTTACAATGCTTATGCAAATAGTTGTAGCTCTTTTTTTCGTAGTAATTGTTCCGATAAACAGTTTGCAACTATACCAATATTTCTACAATGTAACAATGAATAAAGAAAATGCATAAAAAGTCTACGAATATCTGGATCAACCCTCGTATGTTGCGGCAAGACCAAGTGGTTAACGCGTCGAAACTAATTATTTAAGGATTGCTTGCGCAAGCCGTTGTTTCCTTGAGCAAGAATCTATACATTGAACACCGCCTTTCCTTGTTGATCTTGTTTATCATATTTTTTACTGATTGGCTCCAGGAACGGAATTGGGGGCGTGTCTACAAGCTTATAGCTTCCTACACAAAAATGCCACAACCCGGAAACATAGATCGGTATAGAATGTTCTATTATAAAACTCTATACCCGTAAGATGAATCCCAAGGCAACTCAACAGTATATTAGATATGTTGTTGAAAATATCTATGTAAATAGATTCAGACATGGAAAGTTGTTAACATATTTGTAATTGTTGGTTTTCAGTTAAAATATAACTACTCATGAGCGTTTATCCATGATTATATCTTTTACAAGTACAAAGTAACAAAGTTTTAATTCTATGTACTTTTATTTCTATATGCATGAACAATACATGTGTATGCCATAATGTTATGCATATGTTAATTATTAGATCCGATAATGTTTCTTTTCATTTTATTATGCAGTGGTGTTATGTTTATACTGACATGTTCTCTAGATATATTTATATCTTAGATTTTATACAGTTATAGTAAACAAGATCACTCTGACCTTTTTCAGAAACTACAGATACAAGGAAGTCAAAGAAGTAAATCGGAGAAGAATTTTCCAAGAAATGTGAGCGATCATCGGCGTTCAATCCTTCCTGGTAAAACCCTTTTAGTGTTACAAGCTAGCTCTATTTTTATAAGACTCATCAATTATTGCTATAAACGTAGTATTGTTTTATTAGCTGATCATGGTCTTGCAACTATAGCTTTAGGTAAAGATGCAGTCTAGCACCAGACATCTATCTATAATCCGTGTAATGACTGAAACCAGTTATTGTGTACCTACACTTTGATTGAATCTATTGTTGTGGTTTTTAGCTCATCTGAGCTGACTCAGGTGAACTTTTAGGATCGTTGAATGCCCGTCCTCCGTCCATATCTAGTTCGTTGACATTCTGGTGGTCACATTTTTGCCTCATTTCTCACCAAACTTGGTCAGGATGTTTGTCGGACGAGTTTGGATGAAAAATCTAGGTCACAAGAGTCAAAGGTAGACAAATCTTACAAACACTCTAGTAGCTACTGTTCCGGTCCAAAAATGTCTAAAAAGTTATTTAGATTAGTTATATTAATTATACTTATTATATTAGTTATAGTTAATTAAGTTATTATTTTTGCGATAATTGATTATATCATTATGTTATTTATAAATGGAACTTCTTCATACTCGAGTACAAATGCCTTAAAATGAATTAAAGACTCATAAATGACCATGATCTTTAAGATCAAATTTTTGTGATTTCACATTTTTTCACTAATGTTTGAATTGTCTTCATACTTGGGTACACCAATCCCTGGGACGAGACATTAAAGAAAACTTTATTGTTCTTGATCTTGATTCGACATTAACACTAAAGGTCAGGTTTGTGAATTTGCCACAATATACCATTATTTGTTATCTTGTTATGGATTTCAATTTATACTTGGGTAAAATAACACATTTTGTAATAAAACTGACATGTAAGGTAATTCAAATATGATGTTGACTTATAGATAAATGACATCGACAGTCAAGGTTAAATTATTGAATTTTTCTTAGATTGTCATAAATTTGTTTTTATTTACAGATTTGACTTATACTTAGACAAAAGAACACATTTGACAAAACACACATGTTGAATTATTTTGAGATGACTGACATTTTATAACCTTTACTGCAAAGGTCAAATTATTGAAATTTGCTTAAATTATCATAACTTTTTTATGGGTTTGGTTCATCTGTGGACAAAACAACATGTATAGGTTAGTGTTTAATAATACATATTAACAAAAATAATTGGCCAAGCCTGCCGCAGGCAGGCGACCAATTATTTTTGTTAATGTGTATTATTAAACATTTACCTATTTAATGATCAACATTATTTTTTTCAACCAATCACCGATAGCTCCACCCTTTCGCTGTAAAAGATGTCTACACCTTGTCAAGTTTCTAACATGTCACATTTAGATAAGCTAAATAAATGGCCCTTTCAACATATAATTAGGCACATGTTTTACTGAAATATCACAGAATTTATACCTTTATCTACAGTACCTCTATCATGTTTCTATAAAATATCTGGAAAAAAAATCTGAGAAAAATACATTAGAGATTATTAATTGATACAAATTCGTTATTAGCTTCAAGTTATTCACTAACATTTAAAATTCCTATTGATTTGCTTATTTGAAAAACAGTTGATTTTTTTTTATTTTTCTGTGTGTCAATTTAAGTTTACAGGTGGGTCCATTTACAATGAGTTTTCTAGCCAAAAATGTAAACATTGAAGGATTGTTAATGCAGTTCATTCCTATCGACTAAAAGAAAATAATGTTTTGGTTACTTTTTCTAGAAAATATAAAGTTTAAATCAGTCAGCAATTTATAACAGACATTTTTCTTAGAATTAAAAGGATATAAAAAGTTACTATGTAATCATTTATCTCTGCGTGGGGCATGTATTATCTATGTAAATCAATTGATTGTATCCTCACATTTAGAAACACCTGACCTCGCTTAATTCTTTTTACGATGGCATTGTTTTGCTAACCTATAGGTATTTTACAATTCAAAGTGCAAACCACACATCTAACTCCTCCCTAATATAATGCATTATTGAAATTTGTTAGACTGGTTAGACGACAGATTAAGTAAATTTTATTTAGTTAGTACACATTAACTAAAGTTAGACTTAGCAGAAATTTGAAAAATACTTCAATGTGATTGGACAAAAAATAATGTTGATCATTAATTATGACAAAAATTCTGCACACATGTTTCATTGCCAGTTACCACATTTACAAAGTTCTTTTTGTCTTATTTAGAAAATATTTTGAACTAGTGTTTGGCTCTTTGCTGCTCTTGATCGACATTCAACAAATGAGGCACCCTTGTTTGCAGAAATCTTCCTGTAATTCAAGATATTCTTTAGAATATCTTGTACATACGGTAGTGAAATATCACCCATTGCTGCAATATTGCCAACTGCATATCTAACATTTCTTTCAACAATTCTGTAACTTTTGGTATTGCAAAGGGCACCAAAATCTGCGAAAAATAGCAAAAAAAGGTCAGAATGTGCAATAGCCCTTTTAGTCACGCAGTAAAAAGATAAAAATCAATAAAAATCACATTAATTTTTCACATTACGTGTAAATTATTTCTTGAATTGTGAATATTTAAATTTACTTTTCTGAAAATCTTATTTCTAAAGGTTGATTTTCTTGAAATACTTTGGCTCATCTGGATGCATGTAGCTTTGAAGATTGCATAATTGTCAGATAATTAAGCGCATATCTACTTTTAAAGAACAACCAAGCTTAAAACGAGCTATATAAATTTCTCCCTTCTTGTTAACGCTTGTACTAACACAGTTAGATAAAGAAGGATTATCGAAAACTGCATTACTCAATATGAGTGTATTCGAATGTCAAATTCTCTACTGTTTGCTTTATACCTACATGTATACATCATTGTGCAGGTATTGAACAGCTCTCTATAGGTATGCATTGATTTGTTGCCATTTCCACGAGGATATTGTGCAACGGAACAATAAGCAATTTCTTTCGGACACCCCTTGTATGTTCTCACAAGGCTAAGAATTACAATCACGAAAGGTCATACCATTTTTGCAAAGACAGACAGAGAAAGAGACACGAACGGACATAAGACAGACATCTAGATAAACAAACAAACAGTCAGTCAGTCAGTCAGTCAGGTAAACGAACGTCTAAAAAACAAAAGGACGGTACATAAAAAATCTGATTTTTATTTATCGGAACTTTTGTCGTCATATTTTTTGTATTACAATGCATAATATAATTATTAACCTTGTATCCCATATTTAATTAAGGATCTCTATCTGACAAAAAAGCAACAGTTACTCTGAATACAGGTCCTCATTAAAATGTCGAAACACTATTCGGTGAAAAGCGTCGAATAGAGAGATTCTCGAAGAGCTTTCTTTGGCAAATACTACGAAAAGAACACCACCTGTTGCCCTATAGAATGTGGCAAGAGTGCTTGAACGCTATGTTTGTATAAGGCAAAAATCCTCTATTTATTACATTCCTGCGACGTACTTCATGTCATTTTAACCCAAAATTCACATTGTCCATGTGTTTGTTAAAAGATTGCTCAACGCTCGATATGTTTCGTATTTATATGTTTTTCAGGTGTCGCTATAGGATTTACAGCGTGTGTTTCGGTTCCAGATGTTAAAAGCCTTGGGGTTCATCACACCATTGTCTACGACAGGATCATTACAAATACTGCGGGTGCATATCATAACTCCACCGGAATATTCACAGCTCCTTATAAAGGGTTGTATGTGTTTTCTTCTACTGCAATGTCCGTTGCTGGACATACACAATATTTAGATATTGTCAAAGATGGCGCTACTGTTAATACGTTTCTTGCTGACGGCCTGGGTAATCAGGGGTTTGAGGCAACCGGCAATCAATGGGTGCTGGAACTAGATCAAGGGTCCGAAATTTGGATAAGAACAAGTCATGCTGGGGAAATACATGGAAACTGCTTCACTCTGTTTTCAGGTTTTTTACTTTCAGAAACTGAATAATATCGGCTTTGATGTCATTTCGAAATAAAAGCTATTATGAATTAGATACGTTCGTTGTTATTTATATGTTCCCTATGAACTCTCATATAAAAGTCAATGATGCCAGAGATGCTGCTAGTTTCGCATAATATTGAAACTGTGTTTCTAAGTACTGCAACCACAACATTTAAGATTTACGCAATTAACATGAGTAAGATACCTACCTACATACCTACCCTACACTACCTACTTATTTATAGCCAGAGTCCAATCCAAAAGAACTGGTGTTTTTTATTAGCTCACCTGAGCACAAAGTGCTCAAGGGTGAGCTTTTGTCATCACTCTGCGTCCGTCGTGCGTCGTGCGGCCGTGCGTCGTGCGTCCTTCAAAAAATGGCGTCAAACTTTTCAAACAACATCTTCTCCTAAACCACATGGCCAATTGCAACCAAACTTTACAGAAATGATCCTTAGGTGGACCCCTTTCAAAGTTGTTCAAAAATTTAAATTCCATTAAAAACTCTGGTTACCATGGCAACCAATAGGAAAAACTTAAAAAATCTTCTTTTAAAAAACCCTAACAGATAGAGCTTAGATATTTGGCATGAAACATCTTCTAATGAGTGTCTACCAAGTTTGTTCAAATTAAAGCCCTGGGGTCAAAATTGGCCCCGCCCCAGGGGGTCATTGATTTTCCCTATATGCATATAGTAAAAACTTAAAAAATCTTCTTTTAAAGAACTCAAAGAGCTAGAGCTAAGATATTTTGCATGAAACATGTTCCCATGGGTGTCTACCAAGTTTGTTCAAATAAAAGCCCTGGGGTCAAAATTGGCCCCGTCCCAGGGGGTCATTGATTTTCCTTATATATGTATAGCAAAAACTTGAAAAATCTTCTTTTAAAGAACCCAAAGAGCTAGAGCTAAGATATTTAGCATGAAACATCTTCTAATGAGTGTCTACCAAGTTTGTTCAAATAAAAGCCATGGGGTCAAAATTGGCCCCGCCCCAGGGGGTCATTAATTTTCCCTATATGCATAATAGTAAAAACTTAAAAAATCTTCTTTTAAAGAACCCAAAGAGCTAGAGCTAAGATATTTAGCATGAAACATCTTCTAATGAGTTTCTACCAAGTTTATTCAAATAAAATCCCTGGGGTCAAAATTGGCTCCGCCCCAGGGGGTCATTAATTTTCCCTATATGCATAATAGTAAAAACTTAAAAAAGCTTCTTTTAAAGAACCCAAAGAGCTAGAGCTAAGATATTTAGCATGAAACATCTTAATGAGTGTCTACCAAGTTTGTTCAAATAAAAGCCCTGGGGTCAAAATTGGCCCCGCCCCGGGGGTCATTGATTTTCCTTATATGACATGTATAGCAAAAACTTAAAAAATCTTCTTTGAAAAACCCAAATAGCTAGAGTTTAGATATTAAGCATGAAACATCTTCTAGTGAGTGTCTACCAAGTTTGTTCAAACAAAAGCGCTGGGGTCCAAATTGGCCCCGCCCCAGGGGTCTTTGATTTCCCTATATGCATATTGTAAAACCTTAAAAAATCTTCTTTTAAAGAACCCAAAGAGCTAGAGCTTAGATATTTAGCATGAAACATCTTCTTATGAGTGTCTACCATGTTTGTTCAAATAAACGCCCTTGGGTCAAAATTGGCCCCGCCCCAGGGGGTCATTGATTTTCCTTATATGTGTATAGCAAAAACTTAAAAAATCTTTTTTGAAAAAAACCAAATAGCTGGAGTTTAGATATTAAGCATGAAACATCTTCTAGTGAGTGTCTACAAAGTTTGTTCAAATAAAAGCCCTGGGGTCAAAACTGGCCCCGCCCCGGGTGTCATTGATTTTCCTTATATGTGTATAGCAAAAACTTAAAATCTTCTTTGAAAAAACCCAAATAGCTGGAGTTTAGATATTAAGCATGAAACATCTTCTAGTGAGTGTCTACAAAGTTTGTTCAAATAAAAGCCCTGGGGTCAAAACTGGCCCCGCCCCAGGGGTGTCATTGTTTTTAACTATATGTGTATAGTAAAAACTTAAAAATCTTCTTTTAAAAAACCCAATGAGCTAGAGCTTAGATGTTTAGCATGAAACCTCTTCTTATTGTTGTCTACCAAGTTTGTTCAAATAAAAGCCCCTGGATTATAATTGGTCCTGACGGGGGGGGGGGGGGGGGGAGTAGATCATTGTTTTTCATTATATGTGTGTAGTAAAAACTTAACATTGTGAAACATCTTCTAATGGGTGTCTTCTAAGTTTGTTCAAATAAAAGCCCTGGGGTTTAAACTGGCCCCGCTCCGGGTGCCTTTATACAGGTGAGCCACCTCAGGGCCATCATGGCCCTCTTGTTCATTTGAAGCATAGTACTTTAGTAGCAAGTGGATTTTAACGTGCACTATGTAGTGCTCTAATACACCACAAAGTAAGACTTTAAATTTCATATAAAATATTTTTTTTTATTTGATTTGGAAACGAGGACCAAATAAAAGTTCTTAATTTGTTTACTAAAAGAATTATAATTGCCTTGGACCATAGAATTGTGTTGCATTTTAACTGTCAAACTGCTAATATAAACATCCTAGCAATAGGGACGAGTAATGCTCCATATTGAGGCCATGCATCTTTACCTATTTCAAGTACGGAAATAATATGCAATTATCATTTTTAGAGGAATAAAGCGAGATTTCTTTATAAATCGACAGCAACTATATAAACGTCACGATTATCCAATGAAATGCGACGTTACAAACGTGCAGTATTATAAGATCATTTATAATACTGCACGTTTGTAACGTCGCCTTTCATCAGATATTCGTGATGTTTATATAGTTTTTTTTATAATACTGCACGTTTGTAACGTCGTTTTTCATTGGATAATCGTGACGTTTATATAGTTTTATATACACGGATGTTGTCGATTCATGAACAAATCTTACCTTTTTCTCTAAAAGATGATGTTTGCTGTATTATAAATTCGTTATAAAGATTGTTAACAGGTTATATGGCCGTATATAAACGGCTGTTTGCAATATAACCCTCGCCTAGCGGCCTGGGTTATATTTACAAATAGCCGTTTATATAGGGCCATATAACCTGTCAACAATCTTTATAACTAATATTCTAATGTAGTTTATACAGGCACTGATGGTCTATGGTAAAACAATTCATTTATTTATTATTTATTTCATTTTTTAGGGGGGGGGGGAGGAAGAACCATTTTCAAATATCGGTGGTATTTTGATTATCTATTATCAGTTTTTTGTTTAGTTCAGCTATTTTTGTTACTGTTTAAGGCATAAATTGGTATTTAAACTAGGGCTATGGAACGTGACTAATAACCTAGATTTACCATTGCCGTATATACATATTTAGAATCCTTTATCTTTTGTCATATGAATTAAATACAAACACATTGTAATAAGAGATTAATACACGGCCGAGTAGGACCGGAAGGTGATAATCGGCCCGCAAAATGAATAATGGCCCAGAGGGCTTCAGCCCGAGGGCATTATTCATTTCGGGGCCGATTATCACCTTTCGGCCATACTCTGACGTGTATTAATGAGCAATATTAAACAAAACAACAAAATGTACATCAATATTGAAATCCGTTTTGATAGAGTCTGATAATAGTTCAAGGGCCGCAACTCTGTTTATTTTGTGTTTGGTTTCACGTCGCACCAACACCAGAGTAGCAGTCATATGGCGACTTTCCAGGGTTAAGATGTGCATTTTGTGGAACTATCCTTTTTTAAATGACGTTATTTTAGTATCTTGTCCAGTACAGTTTCTCAAGTCGTGTACCCTTTAAATATATTACTGTATTGTTCAACTTATATGATAAATAACCTGTAAATATTCTTAAAATATTGCTAAAAGATTAAGAAAAAACGCCATTCTCAATATTTTTTAACTGTCTTTATTGACTCATCCATGTAGAGAGGTGGTCAACGATTACAACTCATATGAGCCGCGTCACGACAAAACCAACATAATGCTTTTTGGCCAGCTGGATCCAGCCACCTGCGCCCACGCACCCTTTCAAACCGTATAAAATAAACTGATAGCGAACAGGTGGATCCTGATCAGATGGGGGATGGCAGCGGGTTTGATCCATCTGGTCGCAAACCATTATGTTTGGTTTTTCGTGACACGGTATATTTTACTTTGAAAATTTTGAATTTGTAATCTACATAATATTATCGTTCTTATTTCATGGTCATGGCCAATAAATTCTTATTGCAGTTTGGCAGAATTGTTTTACCAGATTTCAGTTCCCTTTTTGCACTATTTTGCCCTCTTGTGGAAAAGTATACACTTCGTCGGCTTACTCTTGAAATGTCCTAACTGCCAAAATGCTATTTTGAGAAAAACGACTTTAAACATTTTGCATCTTAATATTTTTTTCCACGTGACCCCACGGAATTGAAATTTTTCACACATCTATATTTAGGATTTTAATGCGCACAAAAGGCGTTTATTTTTCTTTCTGGAGAAAGACTGAGAGTAAATATGAAAAAAACAAATTTGAGATAGAGCAAAAGGTCAAAATATTTCTTAAAAAGTCACTCTAAAAGTGCGTCATTGGAGATAAAGCAAGGTTATACCAAAATTAAATGAAGGAGCCAGAGATACGATACTTTAATGGTAGAAATTATTACATACACAGGCTGTTTTAACCTTTAAAATACACTTATTATGCTTGTCCGTATGTGCAATTAGATTCTATTGTAAATCATTACAAGCCGTCGCAATACTTTTTCAACGCAAATGAGCGACTGGATGTTTCTTTGTATAATAGTATAAAACTTGGGAAAATAAATTCAGAAAACTGACCTAAACGTAACGTAATGCATCAAACCTAAAGTGTTAAGACTTTATGATATTGGTCCCCAAATATTTAGTCACAACAAGTTAAACAATTTATAACTGTTTATCATAACTTTTGTAACATTAATAAATATGACTTCTTGTCATGACAAATAGAAATTGATATCTTAAACATAAATACTGATCGTAAGTTGCGTAACAAAGACACATATCTTAATTATAGACAAATAT